CCCCAGAGCGCCGACAATCTGCCGGGACCTCGGAGTCGTCAATGAGGAGGTAGCCGCCGATGACCGGAATGTCATACTCGTGACTGCGCTCGAGGTACGATGCCAAGTGCGAGCTGTAGTGCGTCGCGATCTTGTCACCTGGCGCAATGTAGCTGTAGGCCATCGGATACGTGGAGAAGACGGCCATCTCGTTCTCGGTCCGCACCCAGTCCTTGATGATCTCGACGTCCCAATCGGCGAGAAACTTGGAGTGCGCGTCGAGCTCCATGCAGAAATCTTGGTCGCCGATGAGCTGTTGCTGCTGCCAGCGCGCAATCACAGGACCTTTGGACAACCGCGCATCGCGCGCGTCAATCTTGATGTTGGCCTTGTACCTGCAGTCGTGGTCGGGCCACGTCGCGTTGGCGCGGCGACAGTACTCTTCGAGGCAGATAAGGTCGCCAGGTCCGGTCTGATCGACGACGCCAAAGAAGACACGGTCGGGGTACCGCGCATTCGCAAAGGCCGTCCAAAGCGTGTAGCCGCACTTGAAGCCGTCGCGGTAGGACGCAATACCGATGAAATGCGTGGGGTCGGCTGGGAGGCGCGGCGGTGGCGGGCGCAGGTGGGCAGCCGCCGGCGATATCGGGACGTTTTGAATGGATGGCTCCAAGTACGCGCGGTGCGGGACCTTCTTGCGCTCATAGTAGAGCGACTGCTTTGGCTTCTTGGTCGGCGACGCCATGGATGTGTCTGTGGAAGTCACTTGCGATATGACGTTGCACTGGTTGTCCGACTTGCCAGGCGACCAGATGGCAACCAAGATGGCAACGGCGCATACAAATCAAGCGTGCGACGTGCGAGATGCGCATAGTCCGCTTGTGGCTGACAAGCTGTGGTAATGGGTCCCAGTACCGTTGCGACGTCAGCTCCAACTCGGGTGTCATTGTCGTTCACTGCCACGGGTCATTCGTTGCTGCCCAATGTCATAATCGTTAGAAGCCTCGTGGACGCGTTGAGCCGCTTGACGATTAAGGCATTATTGTACGGGCCATTTCGGATCGCGTATCAGTAATAGAGTGCGCCACAAGGCGGTGTGTTGGCGCCACTGTACGCACCCGTTGTACACTGTACCTTGCGGCGTGAAAACAGATGGGTGGTGGCGTTGAAGCGGCAATGTCCGCCCTGTGTCCGCCCGCAATGCTTTTCACAGCGAGTCAATTGGTCTACAGAGCACTCGCTCTTCACAGCTTACGACTCATACGGACACTTGCTGAAGGAACACCGTGAAGACCTTCGGCGTAGGCACATGTCGTGCGAGAGAGGCTGTGTGTCAGCGCCTCAAGAGGCTTTTCCGGAACCGATCCGGATCCGGATAAAGATCGGGCGCTGTGGTGATCTTTCAGCATACGCGGGCATGGCGATATTTAAAAGAGTAAAGTTTCCCGGCCAATGGCGTAGCGTGGAAAAGTGTTGAAGCCGCATCAAGGCAGTCCTCGACGCGCACGCTATTCATCTATTCGTAGTAGACCATTGGGAGTAGCCTCTAAGCGGAGCATCATCCCCGCTAGTACTTCATTCTTCAATTTGCTGCTGGCGAGCCCGAGCAAAGAATGATACAATGCCGCGAAATACAAATTGTCCCTCGCCACAACCGCATGCGCCAATCGCGTTATATCTAGTTGCCGATTCGTCTCTTTTCTATTGAAATAAAAGGTGCAATTTCGAATTGGGTTCCACACCGAGCAGGGCAGGATTCGTGCGTGCACTCACTGTTTTTTATCTCGTCCATGCAAGCTCTTCTTTTATGTATTGCACTTCAATTATTTGCATAGTAATATACTATGCATTTATTATAATACGGCACATGCTTGCGTGCAAACAATGCATCCAGCTCATCCAGATATCATTTGACCGCGAACATGACCAGCACAACCAAGAAGCCAAAGCAGTCGCTCTACTATGAGCGCAAGAAGGTCCCGCACCGCGCGTACTTGGAGCCATCCATTCAAAACGTCCCGATATCGCCGGCGGCTGCCCACCTGCGCCCGCCACCGCCGCGCCTCCCAGCCGACCCCACGCATTTCATCGGTATTGCGTCCTACCGCGACGGCTTCAAGTGCGGCTACACGCTTTGGACGGCCTTTGCGAATGCGCGGTACCCCGACCGTGTCTTCTTTGGCGTCGTCGATCAGACCGGACCTGGCGACCTTATCTGCCTCGAAGAGTACTGTCGCCGCGCCAACGCGACGTGGCCCGACCACGACTGCAGGTACAAGGCCAACATCAAGATTGACGCGCGCGATGCGCGGTTGTCCAAAGGTCCTGTGATTGCGCGCTGGCAGCAGCAACAGCTCATCGGCGACCAAGATTTCTGCATGGAGCTCGACGCGCACTCCAAGTTTCTCGCCGATTGGGACGTCGAGATCATCAAGGACTGGGTGCGGACCGAGAACGAGATGGCCGTCTTCTCCACGTATCCGATGGCCTACAGCTACATTGCGCCAGGTGACAAGATCGCGACGCACTACAGCTCGCACTTGGCATCGTACCTCGAGCGCAGTCACGAGTATGACATTCCGGTCATCGGCGGCTACCTCCTCATTGACGACTCCGAGGTCCCGCAGATGTCGGCGCTCTGGGGTGGCTGCCTCTCGTTTAGCAAGTGCCACGCCGAGAAGCGCGCGCCCATGGACAAGTACATGAACTGGATCTTCTGGGGCGAAGAGTACCTCCGGTCCATGCAGCTCTGGACGCACGGCTACGACATGTACTCGCCGTCGCGCCACGGCCACGTCGTGTTTCACAATTGGACCAACGACCCGCAGAAGAAGCGGTTCTGGGACAATGTGACAACGCTGGCGGACAAGCCGCGCGAAGAAGCGATCGCGTACAACCGGCTTCGTACGATGCTGACGCTGCCGTTCCAAGGCGAGGTCGACACGCGCGAGCTGCACCGCTTTGGGCCGGGCCGCGTCCGGTCGATTGCGCAGTTTCTCAACTTTTCGGGTATTTCCAACTCGAACGCGTCGCTGGACGAGTGGCCGACGGCGCAGCGTCGATGGGTGCCGTACTCAGTCCCGGATGAAGTCGAGGCGCTGCTGCCGGGCTGGACGCTCCATGCTAGCAACGTCAAGGCGATAGAGTCGCACGCAACGTCCGAGGCTGTGGTGCTGAACGAGCTGGAGAAGCTCGCGGCCAAGCTCCACGGCGAACGGAGCGGACAAAATGCATCAGTTTATGCGCTCGACGCGAATCGTGTGAGTTACGAAGAGGCGCTTTTGCATCCGCGCCGGGACGTGGCACAACGGCGAGAGGTCAGCCGCAACGGCAACTTCGAGTCAATGGCGATCCTCTGTTTCGTGATGGCCGGGCTTTTGGCGCTGGCCGTGCTTCGCAGACGGCCACGAAGCTATAAGTAGATGAAAGGATTCGATTGACATAATGATTTGGGATGGAAGAATCTCATGGGCTGGGATGGAAGAGGACGACGTTGCGGAGCTACCGCCGTCGATCGCCAACGCGCAGGCATTTGATATGCAACACGTAGCGTTCATACTACTCCGTATGTAGTGAAGTGTGCACTCGACAATCTTGTAGTTGTTGGCTCTTCACAAGATGCACTCTTATCTCATCTCACACCAGCTTTTTCTCGTGTGTCCATTCGCGACCGACGCCACGTCGCGCGTACGACAGGCAGCACGTGCTTCTTGACACATGGATACTTTTTCCAAATCGGCTTAAACACGTCGATTCGCATGCAGGAAGCTGATCACTGTGTTAAATGACTCTAGCAAATCCATGTACTAGTACAGTGCTCGGACGCATTCAGGAAAGAAGTCAAGGAAGGTGCAGTTTGGTCAACAAGAGTCGACGTGCGCCAACGTATTTTCTGCCTGTCTATTTCCGGAGCGGTTTGTGGTGGCGCCGTTTTGACTCGCGCGTTGTATCAATCGAGGACGATGCTGCCTGTGGCTGCCGACGACGTTGCGCCGCTGCGCATGAAGCGGCTCGGGAAGCGGCGCTTCAACTCGACGCTCATCCTCGAAGATGCGCCGCCGCCGTCCAGCTTGGAGCTTCTCTTCGAGTCGTTTCCGATCCTCGGGCGCTGGCGCCTCAAGTGGAAAAACTCATGTCCAGCAGCGTCCGACACCACCAAGCCGCGCCTGCCAACATGCCGTCGTCGTTCTTGTCGCCATTGCAGCTGCACCCGAACGTGCCCAACGCCAAGTTTTCCGATCCCGTTCTCACGTTTGACGTGAGCGAGGCAAACCTCTGCGGCGTCGCGTCGATCCGCGGCATCCGCAGCACAAACGAAGACACATACCGCGTCATCACCAACCTCGAAAAGTTCTTGTCGAGTCTCCTCGTGACGCAGGCCGACGCGACGCCGGCGAGTGTCCTCGACAAGCACATGCAGTCGAGCGTCTTTGACTCGGAAGAGTCGCTGCGGCTAAAGGAAGCGACGTGGTTCTTACCAGCGGAAATTCCTCAAGAACCGTCGACGTGGACGCAGCTCTACGGCGTCTACGACGGCCACGCTGGCCGCCGGTGCTCGGCCACGGTCGCCCGCGCGCTCCCGCTGTACCTCTTGGCCGCCACCGATACGTTTCATAGCAATCTCTCGGCGTGCTTGAAATCGAGCTGCCTCGCTTTGGACAAATCCTTTCTCGACCTCGCTGCGGGGCGCGGCTTCAAGGACGGATCGACCGCGATCACGGTCCTTATCCGTAATGACGAAGTGTACGTCGCCAACATTGGTGACTGCCGAGCGATCGTCATCTCTCTGGACCCTGCTTCGAGCGTACCAAAAGTCAAGCCCTTGTCGGTGGATCAAAAACCGCACTCGCCCGCCGAGAAGGCGCGTATCGAAGAAGCGGGTAAGCACTTTATGTTGAAGGAGGTCGAGTCTACACGTTGATCAATGGTTGCTGTCTAGGTGGTATTGTGCTCAATATTCGAGGCATCAACCGTGTGAACGGCCTCCTTGCCGTCGCCCGTGCATTTGGCGACATTGCCCTCAAGCGGTACGACAAGAATCTTTCTTGTTTGGTTTTGGAAACAGTTCGGACACAGGTACATTGTGGCCGAGCCAGAAGTGACTGTCCACCAGCTCCAGGAGCACGACGCTTTCATCGTGCTCGCCACCGACGGTCTCTGGGACGTGTTTAGCAACGAAGCTGTCGGGTCCTTCATCCGGTACGCTGTGAGGTTGCGATTGACATATCGATGAAGAGGACATGGCGCGTAGAACGTACATGGACATGCCGCTTGACAACCTCGCGCTCAAGCTTGCCAATATGGCAATTGAGCTGGGCAGCACAGACAACATTACCGCCGTCGTCGTCGACGTGCGATAGCACTTGCTCAAATACAGCGCATTCGTCTAGTCCTGTTGAACGATATTGTGGCGCAGACAATTTGATGGGCGCTAAAATAGCACTCTCCTCGTGCTTTCATGTACTTGGGCGATGACACCACAGGCAGTATGCGGGGTGTTACGAACCGGGTATACAGTGGTTGAGCACTGGATATTTGTATCTGCACAGATTTACAACCACTAAGTCGAGACATCTACTGCCACAGTATCCAACCCGGCCATGACTGTTGCGCAAGGCAGCTTTAACCGCTTGAATCGATAATAACGAGGACAGTGGTGGGTTAATGTGGCGGGCCGCGGGCATTATTTGCAACCTTATCAGTCGACCGTCATGGATTTTCCCTCTTGCACACCAACTTGAACCACACTTCAAGGGTCAAGATCTTAAATTTGTGCTTGGCGCTACCGTGGCACGGGAAGCTGCCACGTCATCGAAATCCGTCCATGCCAAAAAGGGTGTCTTCATTTTGAGGCAACGCCGTGGCGTCAGGATGCATGTGTCTTATGTACAGGCAAGGGAATATAGCAGTTATTCCCTTGGTACAAGTTAACACATTCAACGAGAAATCGACCACAAAAATTCAGTGTATGCACACCAACCTGGGTAACGCAGTGGACGAATACTTGCTTTTTATCTTTCATGCGATCGACCACGTTGCCACCTTTGTTCAACGGTCTAGAGGGCTTCCTCGACATTCATGCCTGTAGCCCTAAGAACGAGCTATTGCACCCGACAGATTCGAACGCCGAGCCTCTCCGAAGTGCTCTGAAATCGGTGCGCACGACTGGCGCCACTTGCTGCGTGGACTTCAGCGCACGCCGCAGCGTATTTGTTAAATAAAACGCTTCATTTAAAATGTTAGCTAATTGGCGGAGATTTCCCTAGGATGGCGTGCAGCGAATTCCACTGGTGCGTCTTTTAAAACCCAAATCTAATTCTAGCTTGTGCTTTGTATGTCTATTGTCATAATAATAAAACGACCTTCCCACGAGATATATCCAATCCGCTTGCAGCACGGCGAATGAGGTGGCATTTTGCGATTCGACCTGCAAGCCCGACGCCCATCATGACGACGATGACCCCGCTGCCGCCCTACGTCTCGTGCGAGGTAGACACAACCACGCATGGCACACTCATGCTCATGCTCATGGCCATCTAGTGCGTCGACCTCGTCTTCAAGTACGTCGAAGAGTTTGCTGGCATGGACATCTCGGGCGGCCCGGTGCTCAAGGGCATCAACTGCCAGCTCGAGCTCGGCCAGCGCGTGTTGCTCATCGGCGGCAACGGCGCCGGCAAGAGCACGCTTCTCAAGATGCTTGGCGGCAAGCATCTCCCGACCAGCGGTAGGCGCATGGTCCATGGGATGTACGGTGAGGCTCATGGACGATCTGTTGTTGGCAGGCATGTGCTATCAGATGGGCCGCCGCGACAGCTTTCGCGACACGAAGCTCAATTATGAGCGTACGATGGTGACGACCGAGTGGGGCAACCGATCGGTGGCCTTTGCCGCAAGCTCGACGTACTGCACCGACATTGCGGTCGAAGACATGATGGTCAAGCTCCAAAAAGAGTTTCCCGAGCGCCGGGCGATCCTCATGCACACGCTGCGCATCGACCCGACGTGGCGCATGCACAAGGTATGACATTGCACTTTGCGATTGCACTTATGACATCTATCTCTCGTACTAGCTCTCGATGGGCCAGCGCTGCCGTGTCCAGCTCCTCCTCGCGCTCCTTCGCCCGTCCAAGATTATCATCCTCGACGAAGTCCTCGGGTGCTTGGACATTGTGTCGCGCGTCAACATCCTCAACTTTCTCAAGCAAGAGAGCGAGGGCCCGCTCAAAGCCACGGTATGTCCAGACGCCATGCGAGGCAGTGTCGTTGACAGAGGTGTAGGTTGTCCTCGCGTCGCACGTGTTTGATGGCATGGAGGAGTGGGCGAGCCACCTCATGTACCTGCGCCAGGGTCAGATCTCGTTCTTTGGCCCGCTCAGCGCCATGCCGCTCATGGGTCGCAACACGCTCTCGATCTATCACACGGCCGAGATGTGGCTGCGCGAAGAAGAGCAAGTGCTCAACCAGCTCGAGAAGGCGTCGGACGACACGGATGGCATCCTTGGCCATGCGCAGAACCGCGCCGGTGGCTATGCCAACGGCCGCCTCGGCGGCTACCTCTCGCTCAACGGCGAAAAAATGGGCTAGGTAGTTTGGGTAAAAGTAGTCAGGACATTATTGACCAAACCAATATGCTTTTTAAACGAGCGATTTCACTGGCAGACCGAGCAGACAGATGATGTTGCACGTGGAGCATAGCTACAAGTAGAAAGAACAAATCAGCTGTGTGAGACTCGAAGCATCCCCGATGCCTAGAACACACGTCTTTATCATCATGCTACGAAGGTCTTGTTGACATCAGCGCGGTGATGATAGGGATGGTATATGGCCCTGGTGCCTGCTTGCAGACTCATTCATGACTCAAGGTCAAAAATTGCGTGGTTTCACCCGCAGACACTTGTAGATCTCGCGGTTCTTCTTGCAACTAGCGTAAAAGTGCAAACATCGTATGCCGTCGCCTGGGTTCGAAGCTGTGACCAGCCACGTACCAAGGTAACCCAACACACTTGGCGAACGACTGGCTCGTCTTGGTGCGTGGCAGGCCGTGTCGCGCGAATGGTTCGCGTACTACAAACAAGGACCCACGACCCATGCGCCGACCTCAAGACTAGCGTTGTTGTAGATATTAGTATATGAATCAACTCGAGCGAATAATTGATTCAACAACCACCCGCAACCCATGTTTAGGTGAATACAAAATCCGAGTGTATTACGTGGCGCCTCTTAAACGCGCGTTTCAGCCGTTACGGATGTGTTTGGTACCACGCTTGGATCTTGGGGAGGGCGGCAACAGCGTCCGCGATCGCGTTCCAGCGCGGATACCTGTCGCAGAGCGTCGTGGGAATATCGACCAGCTCTCCGGACTGCACGATCATGCGTACGACAAAGAGCTCGATGTCAGCCAGCGAGAGCATCTCGCCCACCAGGAACGGACCCTTGGCGGTGGCTGCGACGAGCCGCGCCTCAACGCACGCAAACAAGGTCGGGAGCGAGTCTGCCGTGAGCTCTTTGGCAATTGCAAGCTTTTTCTCTGCATCGAATTCGAAATAGTATGGATAGAGCTTGGCGGTGATGTCGTCGGACGCAGCGAGGATCTCGTCGACGCGGTAGGCGCCGAGCGGGTTGGACGTCGGGTAGAGACCCGTGAGCACGCCAATGTAGCGCGCCATACCATGCGACTGTGCAAAGACCTCGCCGTTAATCGTGAGCGTGGGAAGCTGCTTGAACGGCAGCGACGGCTTGCGCACGAGGAACGCTTCGTCACTCAATCGCTCGTCTTCAAACGGAATGTCGTGGAGGAAGAGAGCAAGGCGCGTGACCTCCGCCCGGCCGGGCGTGTCAAAGTACGTGAGCTTGAGCGTTGGTGGGGACATGGCGATTGCAATTCAAATGTGAGCTTGTGGACACTGCTAAGCTCTTTTGTCCAAGGAATAAGGTCCCGGCGGCTTCGGAGGTTCATGGATGCCAACGCGGAATCCAGCATACCAGATTGGATCTTTGCAGTAGTTGGATTGGCCGCGAGTTTGCGCTTGGTTTGAATTAAGCCAATCAAACACACCGCAGGCGCACCGTCACCAATGGTACATTGGACAATTGACGACGCGTGTCCTTGTTGAGGTGAGCTTTATAGCAGTGCCCTCGACATTCGACTACAGCGCCCGATGATGATCGCGCGAAGGTCCGTAAGACTTGATGATCCTCGCTCGCTCACTTGTCTCCGTTCCTGTTGATAGAACTTCACCGGTATACCCAAACTCGGGTGGAGACAAATGAGCTTCCTCCGGTTTTGGTGTGCACTCCTTCCATTGGTAAAACTAGTTTTTCATCAACGAAGAAACGAACAAACAACCGACGTGTCCAAGCCCAAGTCGACCGTTGGCCGTATTTTTTCGCCGAGCGTTGGCGCCGTGCGATACACAGCACCAAGCGTCGGCGCGGGAGGCCGATTGGGGCGCTCTTCCGGGCGCCGTCGCCGAGTACTGGCCCATCAAGACGCCCGATGCGATCGAGTCAGTGTTGGCAAACGGACCTTGAGCATAGCCGGCCGGGTCGTAGCCATCGTTGTTGACGGCCATGCCCGAGAAGGCATAAGCGAGACTTGCGTCCGACTTGCGGCGAATCCGGTAGAGTGGGAGTGCCGCACGACACTTGGCTTCGGTCGGCGCTCGGCGAAAAATACGGCCAGCGGTCGACTTGGGCGTATTGGGCTTGGACACGTCGGTTGTTTGTTCGTTTCTTCGTTGATGAAAAAACTAGTTTTTATCCGTCGTCCAGTATCTTGCTGGAGACGGTCGACGAGAAGAAATGGAGAACTGATGATTAACGCAGCTTACACGAACTAGCCCTAGCCCTAATGGGAAACCTTGAGGGAGGGTCTGGGACGTGGGCGAGGGGGGATCATGGGGCTTGGCTCTTCGCGCGGCTGAAACCAGACTCGGCGATGCTTCAAGACCAATACAGAAGCTTTCAATCAACGTCAATGTACCGGGTACCAATATGAGGAGAAATGTGCAACGAAACTTGAGAGATCTTTCATAACAGTGCATCCCGAAACAGTTTGATTCTTTCATCTACATGGGTTGTCAACAATGGTCGTCGTCGGGAAGGCCGTGGTAGGCGGTCGTCGGGCTCTTGCCGTCGGCCGCGTGCGGCAATGGTACTGGCGGCGCCAAGACGCAGTGACCCCCGACGCGCATCCAGCCAAAGTCGTGCTCCAGCACGAGACTCGTCGCGTGGGCATCCAAATTTTGGAGCACCAAGCGCTTGCCGGCGTCGCGGTAGCGATGGGCCGCCTCTTTGAGCGCCGCCACCGCCGAAAAGTCGGCCAGTCGGCACCCGATGACGTCAATGACCACGTCGTCCGGGTCGGTCGCAATCTCGAGGAAGTCGCGGAAGCGCGCCACGGACGAAAAGAGCAGCGTGCCGCGGAGGGCATAGATCTTTTGATGCGGTGTCAAGGTCGTCTCAACGTCGAGAAAGGTGCCGCCGACCCACGCGTTGACGAGCGCTTGCCAGATGACGCCGGCGATGACCGCGACGGCCAAGTTGATGGCGGTGGCGAGCGCCGTCACCAGTACAATGGCAATGCCATCCGACAGCGGAAGGTACACGAGCAGCCGGAGCGACGGCCAATGGAACGTGTGCGCAATGATGACGACGAGGATGCCCGTGAGACACGCGACGGGCACGAGCTCGACGACGGGGCTCGCAAACAGCAAGATCATAAAGGTCACAAGGCCGCAGACGACGCCCGACACGCGGTACCGCCCGCCGTTGAGCACATTCCCGGTCGACTGGCCAATCATGGAGCAGCCCCCCATGCCCTGGAAGACGCCGCAGACCATGTTGCCGAGGCCTTGGGCGATGCATTCGGCCCGGCACGCCGCCATCGAAAGCGGCTCTTTGGTCAAGTCGACAATGGCCTGGAGCGTCATGAGCGACTCGAAGAGCCCGACGGCCGCGAGACTTGCGGCCACCGAGATGACGAGCGACCAGTCGGTGACACGCGAGAAGCCGGGCATCGCAAACGACGGCAGCGCCCCCGCGAGCTTGGATGTATCGCCGATCGTGCGGACGTTGTATCCGAGGAGCGGGCGGTTGATGCCAAACTCGAGGCCGACACCGAGAAGCGCAACAACCAGCGTCGGCGGCACGAGCCGGCCGATGACCGGCGTCCGAGGGAAAAAATGCATGACGAGGATCGTCACGAGCACATGGACCAGCGTCATCCACGTTGTCGCACTGCTGGCGTCCATCCACGCAAGCCCGTGGGCTTGTTCGCACGCGCCAAAGAGCAGATTCGGCCGGATGCATGTTTGGAAGGTGGTTTTTTGAGACAGAAGCATCATGAGCGCGAGACCGTTGAGGAAACCAATGTGCGCCGTGCGCGGAATCATCGAGAAGAAGCGCGAGAGCGAAAAGATACCAAAGAGCAGCTGCAGGAGACCGGCAAGGAAGACAGCGACGAAGAGGTGCTCGACGCGCGCTTCGTACGAGAGGTCGCGGAGCGCGCCGGTCCCGCTTGTGATCGTGGGCATGACGACGCCAAGCGCGCCGGCGGCGCCCGCAATCGTGGCGGGCACACCGCCAAAGAGGCCGACAAGGATGCCAAAGAAGCCGGTGGCGTAGAGGCCGACGACCGGGCCGAGGTTAGCAACGTAGCTGAACGCGACGGTCTCCGGCACCTGCAGCAGCGTCGCAGCGATGCCGCAGAGCACTTCGGTCCGGAGCACTGCAAGGTTGGCCCAGTAGAAGCGCGCCGACGTGGCAACGTGCTGTGGCAGCGCGCGCATCGCCGACATCTTTGCGCTGGCGGCGCGTTGACGGCCGACGCTGGCGCGGACGCGCTTATAGCCGTGTGCTGCGGTGGCGTGCATCGTCGCCCAGAGCGAGAGGGCCTCGTCGCTGGCGTCAACTTGGATCAAGGACGGGGCGGCGGCGTCGCCCGTGCTTGTGGCGCGCCGGCGTGGCCACGATGCGTCGGTGTGGGGCATGCTTCTTGCGACTGGACAGAGCAGCAGTAACTAAATAAATTGCAAACGCGCAGCGATTGGCTAACTGGCATTGGATTTCAGCCAGTCACGGACAAGAGCAATCACACAGCAAGCGACTCAGCTACCGTACGCATGGCTGCCAGGGTACGTGGGGTTCAAAGAGCAAAGGGCTCGACGCCGGCCTGCTGCCGAATCTAACAGCGTTGATGATGGCCAATTTGGAGTGGCATAGTGGTAGGCGTTTGCACGGTAGTGATTATTGGGACTTTCGATGGGCAAGACGGCTTGATGCTACGCTTACCAGTGTCCTGGGAGGTGTTGATGGTGGGACGAGCAGAGTACATCCCGCAGTACTGTTCGTTCTATGTCATGGCACTCGATGGCCAAGCGCAGGATGCGAAGACGGGTGCCGAGTGAAAGATTAAGCTTGGCACGAAGAAGGATGCACGAGGCGTGCTCTGTAGTCCGTGTCGTTGGCTTGCGCACCGCGCAATGCGTTGCCTTCATGTTGTGCTACGCAGTACAACTCGTCCTCGTTCACTTGAACGTTGAACAACATGTCATCAAGCAGCCCAACGACACAGGTTGCACGATGGAAGCGCGCCAAAATCGGCAAGCGCCATCAACTTCAATACTGTGAAAAAGCATACCCCATGGGATATCGGAAACGAGAGGCTTTTGGAAAGGCCACTGGATTGGACAAAAATATAGCATTTGTGCATTTTGGCGCGCTTGGATTGGATGAAATGGAAGCCCAAGGATTTCATTTCGACAGCAGCCTGTGTGAGGGACGATGGAGTCGACGTTGCCGGTGACGGAGGCGCCGCCCACCGAGCGACCGCTGGCGACGCTGCCAAAGACTACGACAGAGCCCGCCGAACGACCGCCGGCGTCGCGCAAGAAGACCTGCAGCGGCCCGCGCCTCATCACCGCCTCGGGGAAGAACGTGTGCCTCATGTGCCGCAGCGCCCGGCGCCACAGGAACCGATGCCCGACGCAGATGGAGCGCGTGAGGTCAGCTTCGCCTAGGCTGCCGCCACGCAATCTCATTCCCATGTCTAGGAGCGACTATATCATGGACGTGCCCGAGGCGTCTGTCGCCACAACGTCGCCGTCAACGACCGGCGCAGCCAACGCGGGCGACGGCGACGTGTACAGCAGCGTGGGCACCGAGAGCGAAACGCGGCTCTTCCACCACTATCTGCCGCGCTGCCCGACCGACGACTTTAGTGCGATGGCGACGCAGTGGAACACACTGCTGCGCGCGTGGCGGCTGTCCGACTGCCTCGAGATCGAGGTCACGACGGGCCTTATCACGGTACTACGCGTCCTCTGACATTTCTGACGATGTTCATATCGCAATGCGCAGCTAGCCGACGTCACGTTCAAGACGCCCAAGCACCTCGCGATGTACGCTCGGAGCGTCGCACCGGTGCCAGTGCCCACCTCAAAGCCGCGCCGACGTCGTCGCCAAGACGACAGTAGTAGCCCCGATGCAGCGACCAAGCGACAATACCTTCCGTGTCCTCACTGCGGCCACACGACCCGGCGCCACTATGGCGACGTCGGCGACAAGTGCGAGCTCTTCGTCTACTACAAGCTCCGCAGCTACACCGCCACCTCGTACACCTTTGACAAGGCCATTGTTGATTTTGAGCACGTTCAAACGTCTCTAGCTCCACCTCAGCAGTCCAACGGCAGCTACGTCGTATAAGGCGAGATCAATCCATACCCCTGGAATCCATCAATGTATCAATGTGATGCAGTCCTTCGAGCCAACGAGAATTTGGATAGTATCGTGTACTTGACCCTCCACTTCCACGGGGCTCTTGGTATCGATGACGTCGTCCATGCTAAGAGCTCCATGCTCGTTTCGCGAGGACAAGGCGTGTCTGCTGTCGTCATTGTCCTGTTGTGCGTACTAGTAGACGATAAGATACGAGTTGTGCCACGAGGACGTGTGTTGAATATGTCTTCTATGTAGTGCTCTATCGGCATCGACCTGTACCATGGTAGCTCAGCGTCCAACGGCATATCTACTTGAACAAGCGAGTGGGATCCCGGAGTGCGCTTCGTCTCTCCTTCCTCGCGCCTTGTTGACCACCATATATCACTAGCCGAACGCCGTCCGCGCCAGCACCGCTGCGCTATCGAATCCACTGCCGCATGCTATCTCTTCGACAAGGCCACCCACCAAAAACGCTATAACCAGGCGGAAAACGTCATCTAGAGTCATTCATTCATTCTCGACCAATGCAACGCCAGCGTCTACTCGGTGGTCGTTGTCTTGGGCGACGTGATCCGGTCCAAGTAGCCGCCTTCGTCGCAGAGTTCAAAGAAGATGCCCTCGCCCGCATCGATGAGCGCTTGCGGCGTGTCGCACTGCACGCACCGGCCTTGGTCAAACACCATGATCCGGTCGCAATCCAAGACCGTGTCGAGACGATGGGCCACCGTGAGGACGGTCGACTTGGCAAACGCGGTCCGGATCACTTGCTGCAGGTTCTGGTCCGTCTCGTGGTCGATCGCAGCCGTCGCTTCGTCCATGACCACGATCTTGCTCTGCCGCAGGAGCGCCCGCGCCATGCACAGCATTTGGCGCTCGCCGACCGAGTAGTTTTCGCCGTTCTCTTCGATCGGACTCTCGAGCTTGAGCTCTTCGGTCGCGACGCGCGACTGCATGCGCACCTTGGTGAGCACGTCCCAGAGCTGGTCGTCCGAGTAGTCGTCAAACGGATCGAGGTAGTTGCGCAGCGTGCCCTTGAACAAGATCGGGTTTTGCGGAATGATCGCCATGCTCTCGCGCAGCGTCTTGAGGCCGACGCTCTTCGTGTCGACGCCGTCCATGTACATGTGGCCGGACGCAACCTCGTTGATGCGGAAGAGCGCCATGGTCAAACTCGACTTGCCGGCGCCCGTGCGACCGACGATACCAATCTTCTCGCCCGACCGAATGTCAAAGTTGAGGTCCTTGAGCACGAGCGGGTCGTTGGGCTTGTAGCGGAAGCTGACATTGTCGAACTTGAGGCTGCCGGACGCCGGCCACGCGCTCGACGTCGCGCCAGAAATGTTACCGGGGCGCTTCCGGCTCAATATTGATGTACTCGGCGACTCGCTCCGGCGCGACCATGGCTGTCTCGAGGTCCGACCAGACAGACCATGCCTTCCAAATTGGCCGTGATCTGCAGCGCGTAGTTAAAGACGAGACCAATCAAACCGGCCGTGAGGTACTCGTGCAGATAGAGCAGGGAGAAGGTCGTGACAAAGAGCATGCAGGCCGAGATCATTTGGATCCAGAAGGTAAACCACTGCCCCGCGAGGTCGGACGCAAAGTTGGTTTCGTTGTTCTTGTTGACCTTGGTCTGGTGGAGGCGCTGGAAGCGGCGCACTTGCTTCGCACCGAACGCACGGACGAGCACCGTGCCGTCAATGGACTCGGAGATGTGCGTAATCATCGGCGACCGGGTCGTTTTCGAGAGCCGTTCGAGCTCGCGCGCCGGCTGCACAAAGATCGAGCCGACCTTGTAGTAGATGTACAGGAGCGGCAGCAAAATGACGCTGAGCTCGCGGATCACGACCATGGTCGTGCCGAGCGAGAAGAAGAGAATGAAGAGCGTCGCTAAAAAGTAGCTGATCGAGTACGGAATGCGCGAGTCGATCTGGTTGATGTCGCCGCTGAACCGGTTGAGGATGCGCCCGAGCGGGTTCGTGTCGAAGAACCGCATCGGCGCCCGCATGAGCGACTGCGTGAGCTCGTCGAAGAGCGACCGAGATGCGCGCATGCCGCTCCACGAGACGGTCAGCGACCGCGCGACGACCATGAACGACGACCCGAGCGCGAGGCCTGCGTACACGGAAATGTTGTACTCGGCCTGCGCCTGGAACGCGGCCGGCGAGAGCGAGTCGGCGCTGCTGGTCCAGACACTCAGCCAGAGATCACTGCCAACTTGAAGGCCTTGCCAAAGCGACTGCACGAGCAGGAGACCGAGAAAGATGGGCCAGCCACCGACCGCGTTAAAGTACGAGAGGAAGACCGCCTTGGAAACACGACCGTGGTTGCGCTCTTCCTCGATGACGAGCTTCCCGCTCGTGTCCTGTGCGTTCTTCTCTTCGTCGTACGTCTTGACGTCCGACTCGTTGGCCGGCGTGAAGAGGAACTCTTGGTACTTGGCGTCACCAAACGGCGACTTGACGCACGGCGACACGAGCGTGTCGGCGTAGTCGAGGCCAGCATGGCTGTCGACGACGGTCGATGCGTCATCGACCAACACATCGTCGTCCTCACCGAGGTTGCGCGCATGGGCCTTGAAAGGCGTGACGAGGATTGGGTGGTCGGCCTTGTTGCTCGCAATGACATCCGACGCGATGAGTGTCCCGTCCTTGACTTCGATCGTTCGGTCAATGTACGACGACGCGATGATGTCGGGCGAGTGCGTCACGAGCAAGATCGTCTTGTGCCGAAGGAGACCGAGAAAGCACTTGGTGAAAATCTCGTTTTGGACGATCGCGTCGACGGCCGACAAGGGCGAGTCCAAAAGAAAGATATCGGCGTCGCTGTAGCACGCTCGCGCGAGCGCGATGCGCGCCTTTTGACCGCCAGAGACGTTGACGCCTTTCGAGCCAATCTCGGTGCGGTCGCCGGCCGCAAAGAGCGTCAGGTCCTTGGTCAAAGCACACGCTTCGAGGACGGCACTGTACTTTTTCCGGTCGTACGGGTGGCCAAAGAGGATGTTTTCGCGGATCGTCATGTTTTGGATCCACGGCTGCTGCGCAAAGTACGCGACGCGGCCGCTGACGCCGACCGACCCCGCGTACTTGTCGAGTTCGCCGAGGAGGACGTTGCAGAGCGACGACTTGCCTTCGCCGACCGAGCCATGGATCACGACAAACTCGCCGCGCTTGACGTGAAGGTTGACGTTGGAGAAGAGCGGCTTCTCCTCGTCGTAGCCAAAGGACGCGTTGACAATCTCAATGTCGACATCGTTGGCCGAGACCACCGACGAGACCGCGTCGGCCGGCTTTTCATCGAGCGCGAGGTACTCCTTGAAGCGACCGTACGAGACGTACGCTTGCATCCAGTTGGCAATGATCTGCGGCAGCCGCATCATGGGCGCCTTGATCATCGAAAAGAGGCTGAGCGCCGTAAAGACCTTGGACGCGGTCAGCGTCTGGTCGAGCCAAAGCACGTACGCCGCGAACGAGACGGTCGTGAGGAGGACGGGCGCGACGTAGTTCATGGCCATGACGCACGCCGAGAGGCAAAACTGCGTCCAAAGCGACTTGAGCTCGGTCTCGCGGAGGAGGTGGATCTTGTCGTAGTACCGCTCTTCCCACGCGTTGAGCTTGATGATCTGCATCGCGCCAAAGACCTCGTTGACCGTCTTCATGCGCGCATCCTTGCGGTCCATCATGGTCTTCCAGTTGTCGCGCTGGAGCGTCGCGAGGAACCGGTTGAGGAGGAGCGTCACAAACATGACGGCGAGGCCGCAGACCATGGCCGAGCCCAGAATTTGCCACAACATGTACATGAGCGCGGTAATCTGGAGCGGAATGATCCAGATCTGGTTGGCCGTGAACGAGACAGACAGAATCCACATCATGTCGGACGTAAAGAGGTTGGAGACCTCGCCCGTGCTTTTGACGCGGCGCGACGCGGCGTTGAGGACCATCGTTTTGCGGTACAAAATATCTTGCAGCGCCGACGTAAACTTGACGTAAAGCAGCTCGTTCTGGAGCGACGTCTGCGTCTGAATGACCGCTTGGGCGATCTTGACCACAAACAAAAGCACGATCGGCTGGAGGAGCGTGTAAAAGTCGGACGTCGACGTCTCGACGGCCGACACGACTTGCTGGAGGACGACCGGCCCGTAGAGCGTACAGGCCATGGCCACAAACTGCATAAAGCCAATGAAGAGCGCGTTCCAGCCAAAGACCGAGAGGAACGCCCAGATGATCGACTTTTTTTTGTAGTACATGGGCAGGAACTTGGCGCTGACAGTCTCGCATTTGTTTTCGTCTTGGAGCGGCCAGAGGTCGGCTGAGTCGAGCTGGCGCTCGTTGCCGAGCACCATGAGCGGGTTGGCCCACCAGTACGTCCAGCGCGAAATGAAATTGACCGTGTCGAGCGGGTGCTTGTCGGCCTGGGCCTTCGTACCGAGGTTCACGGCCTGGTACGTGGCCGTCCGGGACATGGTGCTGCGGTTGCTGTCTGGACCAAAGGCGGCAAATTCGCAAGTGACCGAGTCGACGCGCGATGATCGCAGCCGCCGGCGCGCGCCAGCTGTCGCTGCCTGGGTGCGAGGAAGGTCAGGTTGCACTTTCCAATGACCCACCGGCGGGTGGGACAAACCCACCGTGTGTGGTGTGAAACGCTCGTTTTTATTTTAACGTCATCATATTTTTACTCCAAAATGAATAAAAATACACCAGCATTCAAATGATCTCGAATCTCTGCCTCGAAAAAAAGCACCCCCACCGTCAGAAGGAGAGATGGTCGTCGTCGAGCGTTGACGTGCATTGGATTGCGATCTTGAGTCTGAATAATCACATGCGGTCAGTACGATCTACCGAACTACCATTCGATGGGCTACATGCACGCAAAATGAGGGCGACGCATCGATCCCTGACAATAACGTCCTTTTTGACGTTGTGTATTGATTTGTAGAGCGGTGAGATCCGCCCACGGTCGTCGCTAGCCTTGCATTGAGATGAAGGCGATGGTGGTTTGCCCCAAACCTGAGTTGGGCAAAACCTCGGCGGCATGAGACTGGCCTCGGACAGCCTCGCTTGGTTTGTACGTGGGCGGCTCGGGGCCAATCGTGGCTACGGACCTTGGGTGCGTCGGCGTGGGACCCTCGCGCCTTGCGGTGTCGTCGCTGTAATCTCGGGAACCATCTTAGCAGCGATTGGACGATCAGACGAAGCTCGGAACGGGTTGATGCAAGGGCATCCGTGGAAGTCCTCGCTGGTAGCGCGACTGGAATATCTTCTTTGGCCGCGATGAAGGCAATGATTCAATACCCCCAATCACCGGTGCGACCTTGGCCGTTTAACAGGCATGGTTGGGACTCTGCTTTCGCCGAGTACAACGCGGTCGTGCCAACAGAATCAACAGACAACCAAACCAGTGGGGTGTCGGATCAGAAATTGGAGCCAGGCGCTGTCTCAGGCCCCAATCGTACGGCCACACGTCATTACATGCGCTCATGCAAGGCATCGTTGGACTGACAGCGACTTGAATATGAAAACCGCGAAACGTTTAGCGAAACGCTGCCTCGAAACTGCGACTAACCTCCTTATTGAGTGTTGGTCGATTCGATGTTGTAGCGCCGTCCATGTGTCTCCTCCATTCTCTGCAGTACAAACAGAGGTCCTTCAAGCCGCATTCGAACAAATGAATCGCATTAGATGTCATCCATTGACTTGCATCACCCAACGCCCTTAAACGCGGCTAGCAACACCGCACATTGGAGGATTTGTACCAAAGCTCGCCACAGCACCGCGCTTGAATGTGCTTCTTGCTTCAAGCCCCACTGACTTTTGAGATGCCACAATGACGGTCGTTTTGTCGACATACATTTCCATGAGATTCGTGGCTCGCAGCGTTTGGCTGAAGCGACGATGGCCGTTTGCGCAGATCGCGACCGATCGCTTCTTCTCGGCGAGTTCCATTGGCGCATGCGTTCTTCTACCAGATATGATTTCGAACGGATCACAGCTCGCAGGTCGACGGAGGACCGTGCAAAAAAGTCGAGCAATCGCGAACCCCAGCACCCAACACCCAACAGGATGTCACGCGCGCGGGTTCGCGCACCTCACGTTCACCCAACACCTCCGGTCCACGAGTCTGCAACGTGCGTGTTTTAAGCGCCGACCACAATTACCATGTGCACATGCAGACAACAAACATGCTACCATGCTTGCACATAGCGTATTAGCTCGTCGACGCTCTGCTCGCGTGGTCGTTGCGCATCGAAAGCACGTTCGCGATGCCACATTTAGCGATCGTAAATATGGTTAAATATGGCATTTTGACCACGGACGTCCGTGGGCCTTTCTCATGCGACGCGTTGACGTGGTTGGCCTGCGGCAGCGCACAATGAACGTGTAGCTACGTCAACTAGCTACGACTGCAAGGTTGACGTGTCGAGACCGTCCATTCCATTCGATACCTGTGGCCCTCGCCGCCTATGGAATCTTTCCGCATTGTCTTTTGACCAAAGTACCAACATTCCGGATCCGAGGGCAAACTCAGCATCTGGTCAAGTGGTGGTGGCGCCAGATTGCTCATTCTGGGATTTCCCGCCTCATGGCACCCACGACCAAGTACCAGTCGGTAGGGCCGGCGCCGCAAAGCGACGATGCGCCGACCAAACACCCGCTGGAGGTCGTCGGCTTCTTCTCGCGCCTCACGTACCACTGGGCGAGCGGACTCATGGCGACCGGGAACGAGCGCCAGCTCGAAGCGAGCGACATTTGGCCGCTCCAGGCTGCGAGCAAGTGCCGGGCGGTGGCCGCGCAGTTTCTGCCGCGCTACAAGGCGACCAACTCGATCATCCGCGCATGGATCTCGGTCTTTGGCTGGAACGCAGTTCTGATTGGCATCATGCAGTTCCTTGCGATGGTGTGCTCGCTGTACGGCCCGGTCGTTTTGCAGCAAGTGGTCTCGTCCGTCGAAGCGTCGGCCGTTGACTATGAGCAGCTTTTGATTTCAATCGGGTCGCTCTTTCTCGTCAAGGTGGCCCAAGCCGTCATTCAGACGCAGTCGGACTTGCAAAACGAGGTGCTTTACGTCCGGGCGACGTCGGCGCTGCAAGACCTCCTCTACAAGAAGGCGCTGTCGCTCAACGCCAAGTCGCGCAAGACCAAGAGCACGGGCGAGATCTCCAACCTCTTTACGGCCGACATGTGGTGGTGCCTCACGGTCTCGTTCACGGCCAACCAGATCTGGATCATCCCGCTCCAGATTGTCGCGCTCCTCTTTCTGCTCTGGCAAGTGCTCGGCTACGCGATGCTGCTTGGCATTGCCGTCATGCTTTTCACGTTCTACCTCAACCGCGTCGTCGCGACCAAGCAGCGCGACGTGTGGGAGACGCTCATGGAGAAGGAGGACGCGCGCATGAAGGTGGTCAACGAGGTCTTTGGCGCGATGCAGATCATCAAGCTCAACGCGTGGGAAGAGCGGTACTACGACAAGATTACGTCGCTGCGTAACGACGAACTCAAGTCGCTCTGGCACGAGACGATTCTCGCTGCGCTCTCGTCGACCATGAACAACGTCGCGCCTGTCCTCCTCACAACCGTCTCGTTTGGCGCCTACGTTCTCTGGCTCGGCGAAACGCTAACCGCCTCCAAGGTCTTTACGGCGCTCAGTCTCTTTTCGATGATCAAGGCGCCCATGATGCGGCTCCCGCAGATCATTGCCAACTGGATGCAAGCGTACGTCTCGTACGGTCGCTTCTGTGACTTTCTCGCGCTCGCCGAGAAGCAAGACGACGTTGTCTCCTCCGACGTCTCGGGCAATGACGTGGCCATTGAGATTGTCAACGCGTCCTTTGGCTACGACACCGACAAGCCGCCGCTCTTCTCCAACGTCAACCTTCAAGTCAAGCGCGGCGAGTTTGTCGTGATCCATGGCTCGGTCGGCGAAGGCAAGTCGTCGCTCTGCAACGTCCTCCTCGGCGAACTCGACAAGTACGCGGGGTCGGTCGGCGTCAGCGGCCGCGTCGCGTACTTTGCGCAGCAGCCGTGGATCCAAAACATGACGATCCGCGAAAACATCCTCTTTGGCCACCCGTACGACCGGAAAAAGTACAGTGCCGTCCTCGAAGCGTGTGCTTTGACCAAGGACCTGACGCTCTTTGCGGCCGGCGACCGCACCGAGATTGGCTCGAAAGGCGTCAACGTCTCTGGCGGTCAAAAGGCGCGCATCGCGCTCGCGCGAGCGTGCTACAGCGACGCCGATATCTTTCTTTTGGACTCGCCCTTGTCGGCCGTCGACGCGATCGTCCAGAACGAGATTTTCACCAAGTGCTTTCTCGGTCTCTTGCGTCACAAGACGATCTTGCTCGTGACGCACTCGCCCGACATCATTGCGTCGTCGTACATTGACCGGACCATTGAAGTCAAGGACGGGACGCTGCTGACACATGCGCTCCAGGCGGACAAGGCCGACCACCCGATCCTTGTGGCGCCGCTTAAAGCCCGGACGCTCTTCTCGGACGACGAAGTTGTCAACGACGACGTGGTTACCGGCGCCTCGGTGCTCTCGTACGCGGACACGCTCGTGTCGCCGTGCATCAAGTCGCCGTTTGGTCATGACCTCGAGCCGCAGCTCTTCACGCCGTACGACGCCAAGCAGCCGCAAACGTACAATGAAAGCGGCGGCAAGCTCGTGGTCGAGGAAGAGCGCATTGAAGGCCGCGTCTCGAAAGAGGTTTTCTTCGCGTACTTTGCCGCGGCGGGCGGGTGGCCGGTCGTGTTTGGGCTCCTCGTCATCCAGTGCTTTTGGCAAGGCCTGAGCATCTGCAGCGACTTGTACCTTGGGTACTGGACCAACACGGCGCTGATCTTGACGCCGACCGAGTTTCACGCGAACGCCGAGTACAACATTAGCATCTACTCGCTGCTGGCGCTCGGGTCGGCGGCCATGGTGGTCGTGCGTGTCCTCACCGTGTCGCTGGCTGGCATGCGCGCGTCCAAGGTGCTCTTCGAAGGCATGACGCAGTCACTCTTGCGGGCGCCGATGCGGTTTTTCGACGCCAACCCGCTCGGGCGGGTGCTCAACCGGTTCAGCGGCGACATGGGCCAAGTCGACGGCCGCATTCCATGGTCGTTCAGCTACTTTTTGTCGACTCTCTTTGTGCTCGTCTTCTCGCTCGGCACGACCATGGTGGTCATTCGCAGCTTGGGGCTGGCCTTGCTGCCGCTCATTTACATTTACTACAATGTTGGTTCGCGCTACGTGCAGCCGGCCCGGGAAATCGAACGGCTCTCGAAAACCACCAAGTCGCCGTTGATGACGCACATCTCCGAGACGATTGACGGCGCGGTGCTCCTTCGCGCGTTCGGTGCGAAGCAAGTGCGCCGCTTTGAGCGCCGCCACCAGGCCAACGTGGACAAGAACAACCAAGTGCTTTTCGCTGGCGACCTCGCGGGCCAGTGGTTTGCGCTGCGTATCCAGCTCATCTCGGCGGCGATGCTGCTCGTGACGACCTTGTCGCTGGTCTACCTCCGCAACGTCCTCTCGCCCGGCTTGATTGGCCTCGTCTTCAACTACGCGCTGCAGATCACGGCCAACTTGGAAGGCATGGTGAGCGTCTGGTCGGGCCTCGAGATGGCCATGGTCGCGCCGGAGCGAGTCGCCGAGTACACCAACGTCGAGCAAGAGGCGCCGCGCGTGATCGCTGGCAGCGTGGCGAAAGAGTGGCCGGCGTCCGGCAGCCTCAAGTTTGAGAACGTCAGCTTCCGCTACAAGCCCAACGACCCGCTCGTGCTCAAGGACCTCAACTTTGACATTCGGTCGGGCGAGAAGATTGGTATCGTCGGTCGCACGGGCGCCGGCAAGTCGAGTTTGACCATGGCGCTCTTCCGCATCAACGAGATTGCGTCCGGCCACATGTACATGGACGGCGTCGACACGAAGAGCGTCGGCCTCAAGACGCTGCGCGAGAGCATGGCGATCATTCCGCAAAACCCGATCTTGTTCAAGGGCACGCTGCGCAACTACCTCGATCCGTTTGACGACTACTCGGACGACCAGCTCTGGGACGTGCTCACCAAGGTGCGCATGCAGTCGCGCGTCGCGACCGAAGAGCTCAAGCTCGAGAGTCCGATCGAAGAGAACGGCGAAAACTACTCGGTCGGCGAGCGCCAAATGCTGTGCATGGCGCGGGCAATCCTGCGGCAGAGCAAGATCGTGGTCATGGACGAAGCGACGGCCGCGATCGACCACGAGACGGACCAGAACCTGCAGCAAGTGATCCGGACCGCGTTTGCCAAGTCGACCGTCCTCACGGTGGCCCATCGTCTCGACACGGTCTTGGATTGCGACCGGATCATGGTGTTTGACCAAGGCCGGTGCGTGCAGTGCGACACGCCGCAAGCGCTCATCGATGCGGGCGAGGGCATCTTCTTTGAACTCTGCGACGAAGGCGGCTACTTGGACCGGATCACGTCGCCTACGACAACGAGCACCGAGTAGAAGCTGGTGAAGTCCAGTGCATTTTTCATCAATATAGTTAGTTGGGTGTATGCGTCGCGTCGGTGGCAGAATCGATGGCTTGCTAGAACGACTTCTACATGGCGGGAGCTACACTGGTCGCAGCAAGTGTCATGCACATTAAGGTAGTCGTTGCTGCAAAAGTTGCTGTTTGTTCTGTAGTGCTGGATAAAACAACTGCAAACGCATTGAAGTAACCGGCACGGGAGGTCACGGCGCTCGTGGAAAGAGGGCCCGAAACGACAGCGTTGCGCACGGCGAGCAAACATGCACGTGACTCCTTCCGGTCTATATTGACCACGTAACTGGTGGACGCATGCCCGTGCAAAAACCGATGGATAAACCGGATACCAACCCGGTTGCGACAGTACTACATCGGCTCATGGAGAGGAACAACCGTTTAGCAGGGCGAGCCTTAGCTTCTCATACCGGGCAAAAACTTTCTCCATGAACCAGAGACGGGAGTTCTGCTGGCAGTGACCACCAACCTGGGGTGTGAAGCGCCCCGAAAACGACCTGCTCCGAAGACTCGGTGCGTGGAACCGTGACAGCTGGCGCTGGTCATGCAAGGATGATGGGACTTGAGCACCTTTTTAAGAGTGGACCTTCCTGATCCGTCCCACCTGGTGGCTCACTGCGGCCGTTCTAAATGAACTGTAGCTTTGACAAACTTGAGCGGTCCAATGTTGTCAATGGCCAATGGCTTATTCGAGGGATTGTTCCCTTGGTGCAGAAGAATGTTAGTACCCTCCGTGTGCTCACGAGGTCGGTCCTTACAGCTTCGGCGCGGTACACCGTTTGGCAGTTTATCGTCGCCGCATCGCACCGAGACGCCTCGAACGCACGCCGCAACCTCGGCTTTACTTGAGGCACTTGTATGCTTTGACCCTTCGAGGTTGTCGACCATTCTCCGCGCGTCCGATGGTGCCCGCCAAATCACTGGGGGTACCTACACTCTCGCCACTCAACACGCATTTCCCATCGCCGAACCACAAGTGTGTTTCTAATCAAGTGCACACAATCACAGATGTGCGAATGGCAGTGGGATCGCGAGCGACGCGACATGCGAGAACGATGGATGGCTGCAGAACGGTCCAAACAACGGCAAGCCGTTTCTACGAGTACAGTCTTTTTCATTTTTGAATTTGCCTCATGTCACGAACAACGAGGTACGCGGCGCTGCCGCTGCAAACGCCCGCGGCACACGCCTCGATGCACCCGCTCGACAGCGTCAATTTAGTCTCTCGCTGGACGTATTGGTGGGTGAACCCACTCGTGGATCTCGCCAACGCGCGCCAGCTCAACGCCGACGACCTCTGGTTGCTTCCGGACCGCCTCGGGTGCGCCACGATCAGCAGCCAGTTTCTTCCTGCGTACGAGGCCAAGAACAAGTCGATTCTCCGCGCATTTGTCTCGGTCTTTGGCTGGAAGGCGGTCTTGATCGGTTTGATGCAGTTTGTGGCCATGCTCGGGTCGCTCTGCGGACCCATGGTCCTCCAACAAGTGGTCTCGGCCGTCGAGTCGTCGAGTGTCGACTTTTACACGCTTCTGCAGCCGATCGTGCTTCTTTTCATCGTCAAGGTGGCTCAGACTGTGATCCAGACGCAGACGACGCTCCAGAACGATGTGTTGTTCGTCAATTTAACATCGGCGCTCCAGGACCTCTTGTTCCGCAAGTCCCTCGTGCTGGACACAAACTCGCGTCGCGTCAAGAGCACCGGCGAGATCTCCAATCTCTTTTCGGCCGACATGATGTGGATCCTGTACGCGTCGTACCAAGTCAACCAGATCTGGATCATTCCGCTCCAGATTACTGCGCTCATGTACATGCTGTGGCAGCTTCTGGGTTCTGCGATGCTTTGCGGCCTCGTCGTGATGTTTGTGACGCTCTACATCAACCGCCTCGTCGCGTCGCTGCTGCGCACCAACTTTGAGGTGATGATGGACCGCAAGGATGCGCGCATGAAGGTGGTCAACGAGGTCTTTGGCGCGATGCAGATCATCAAGCTCAACGCGTGGGAAGAACGGTACTTCGACAAGATTACGGCGCTTCGTAACGCCGAGCTCAAGTCGCTTTGGAGGGAGTCGCTGCTCGCTTCCATGGCCATTACGATCAACGGCGCCGGCCCCATTTTTCTCACGACTGTGTCGTTTGCAGCCTATGTGCTTTGGCTCGGCGAACCGCTCACGGCGTCCAAGGTGTTTACGGCGCTCAGCCTCTTTTCGATGATCAAGGCGCCGATGATGACGCTGCCCAACATCATTGCCAACTGGATGCAAGCCTATGTCTCGTACGGCCGCTTCAAAGAGTTTCTCGCCATGCCAGAAAAGAACGCAGACCTCGTGAGCAACAAGGTCTCGGGCAGTGACGTGGCCATTGAGATTGTCAACGCGTCCTTTGGCTACGACGCCGACAAGCCGCCGCTCTTCTCCAACGTCAACCTTCAAGTCAAGCGCGGCGAGTTTGTCGTGATCCATGGCTCGGTCGGCGAAGGCAAGTCGTCGCTCTGCAACGTCCTCCTCGGCGAACTCGACAAGTACGCGGGGTCCGTCGGCGTCAGCGGCCGCGTCGCGTACTTTGCGCAGCAGCCGTGGATCCAGAACATGACGATCCGCGAAAACATCCTCTTTGGCCACCCGTACGACCGGAAAAAGTACAGTGCCGTGCTCGAAGCGTGTGCTTTGACCAAGGACCTGACGCTCTTTGCGGCCGGCGACCGCACCGAGATTGGCTCGAAAGGCGTCAACGTCTCTGGCGGTCAAAAGGCGCGCATCGCGCTCGCGCGAGCGTGCTACAGCGACGCCGATATCTTTCTTTTGGACTCGCCCTTGTCGGCCGTCGACGCGATCGTCCAGAACGAGATTTTCACCAAGTGCTTTCTCGGTCTCCTTCGGCACAAGACGATCTTGCTCGTGACGCACTCGCCCGACATCATCGCGTCGTCGTACATTGACCGGACCATTGAAGTCAAGGACGGGACGCTTATCGCGTCGGATGTCATTGCGAGCAACAAGGCCGACCACCCAATCCTCGTCACGCCTTTCAAGGCCCATGCGCGCAACCTCGGTGAGGACGATGATGTGTTGGTCGATGACGCATCGACCGTCGTCGACAGCCATGCTGGCCTCGACTACGCCGACGCGCTCGTGTCGCCGTGCGTCAAGTCGCCGTTTGGTGACGCCAAGTACCAAGAGTTCCTCTTCACGCCGGCCAACGAGTCGGACGTCAAGACGTACGACGAAGAGAAGAACGCGCAGGATACGAGCGGGAAGCTCGTCATTGAGGAAGAGCGCAACCACGGTCGTGTCTCCAAGGCGGTCTTCCTCTCGTACTTTAACGCTGTCGGTGGCTGGCCCGTTTTGATTGGTCTGCTTCTTGCCCAGTCGCTTTGGCAGAGTCTGCAGGTTGGCAGCGATCTTTGGCTCAGCGCCTGGACGAGCAGCGCCGCCAACTTGACGACGACCGAATTCCGCGATGGCGCCGGGTATCACATCTCGGTCTACGCGGGCCTTGCGCTCGGGTCGGTGCTCATGATTGCAGTGCGGGCACTCACCGTCTCGCTCGCTGGCTTGCGTGCGTCCAAGTCGCTGTTTAATGAGCTCACACAGTCGCTGCTGCGGGCACCGATGCGGTTCTTTGACACCAACCCGGTTGGTCGGATCCTCAACCGGTTCAGTGGTGACATGAGTCAGATTGACGACGACATTTCGTTCTCGATAGGCTACTTCTTTGCGACGCTCTCCATCCTCGTCTTCTCGCTCGGCACGACCATGGTGGTGATCCGCGGCTTTAGCGTTCTCTTGTTGCCCCTGATGTTAGTCTACTACTCGGTGGGCGCTCGCTACGTCCAGCCGGCACGCGAGATTGAGCGCTTGAACAAGACGGCGCGGTCGCCATTGATGACGCACATCTCCGAGTCGATCGACGGTGCGGTGCTACTGCGGTCATTCGGCACCAAGCAAGTCCGCCGCTTCCAGCGCCTTCACCAGACCAAGGTCAACAACTCGGTTCAAATGATGTTTGCGCACGACCTTCTGAGTCAGTGGTTTGCCTTCCGCATCCAAATGATCTCGGCCTGCATGCTCTTTGTCACGACGTTCTCGCTGCTCTATCTGCACGAGTACCTCACGGCCGGTTTGATTGGCCTCGTCTTCAACTACGCGCTTCAAATCACGACAAGTCTTGAAGGCATGGTGAGTGTTTGGTCGAATCTCGAGTCGGCCATGGTCGCGCCCGAGCGAGTCGCCGAGTACATCAATATTGAGCCGGAAGCGCCCCGGTACATTTCTGGCGCGACGTCGAGCGCATGGCCGGCGTCCGGCAGCCTCAAGTTTGAGAACGTCAGCTTCCGCTACAAGCCCAACGACCCGCTCGTGCTCAAGGACCTCAACTTTGACATTCGGTCGGGCGAGAAGATTGGTATCGTCGGTCGCACGGGCGCCGGCAAGTCGAGTTTGACCATGGCGCTCTTCCGCATCAACGAGGTTGCGTCCGGCCACATGTACATGGACGGCGTCGACACGAAGAGCGTCGGCCTCAAGACGCTGCGCGAGAGCATGGCGATCATTCCGCAAAACCCGATCTTGTTCAAGGGCACGCTGCGCAACTACCTCGATCCGTTTGACGACTACTCGGACGACCAGCTCTGGGACGTGCTCACCAAGGTGCGCATGCAGTCGCGCGTCGCGACCGAAGAGCTCAAGCTCGAGAGTCCGATCGAAGAGAACGGCGAAAACTACTCGGTCGGCGAGCGCCAAATGCTGTGCATGGCGCGGGCGCTCCTGCGGCAGAGCAAGATTGTGGTCATGGACGAAGCGACGGCTGCGATCGACCACGAGACGGACCAGAACCTGCAGCAAGTGATCCGGACCGCGTTTGCCAAGTCGACCGTCCTCACGGTGGCCCATCGTCTCGACACGGTCTTGGATTGCGACCGGATCATGGTGTTTGACCAAGGCCGGTGCGTGCAGTGCGACACGCCGCAAGCGCTCATCGATGCGGGCGAAGGCATCTTCTTTGAACTCTGCGACGAAGGCGGCTACTTGGACCGGATCACGTCGCCTACGACAACGAGCACCGAGTAGACGCGGGCGTTGCATTGGTCGAGAATGAATGAATATGTGTGCTTGTTCTGTTGTTTAGCTGTTCGGTACTACGTACGATTCAAACGTAAATTGTCGACCTGCGTGTTGGTACAGACACCGTAAGCGCATGCATCGATGTTAGAGTGTCGCGTCCTGTTTGTCCCGAGGTCGACATTACTGTACTACGAGTACTGTGTTGCGGTTTACCATAGGGGACTGATATTAAAAGTTTCTAAACGATGTAGCTAGCACTTGACGCTTCGGGTTCTGAGTCCTGCTGCTGCGCAAAGTCTTCGATGGCCTTCTCGAACGAATACCCGTTGGACGTCGCCACGTTGCGCCGTCGGTAAAACTGGTACAGCTCGCACGTTTCCGCCAAGTCTTTCGTGTGGCGCCGGGTCTTGTGGCCGCAGTGGGGACACGGAAGGTACTGTCTCTTCCGCAGTGTCGGCGTGCTTGCCAAAGCGCTCATGCCAACGACGACCTGGTGTTTTGTGCTTGCCTCGCTGGTCGCTGGGCCGATCGCGCGCTCGATGGCTGCGTGGACCGCGAGGTGGTCGGCGGTTTTGAGCGTGACGTCGGTCATCTAAAGCCCGATCGATGCATCACTGCACAACCTTGCTGCTGCGTATACAAGCCAACGCACCGTGACAAGGCCCGTCGCAAGACGGACTTCAAGGCAGTCGGCGGCGCGCCACGTGTGGAGTAGCGCATTCCACTGTGCTGCGATATCGGCAAAGTCTTCGGATGGACAGCGCGCGAGGAAGTACTGGAAGAGCCGCGCCTCGCTCTCGGTGCGTACACCACTATACGCCCTCTCGTCTTCGTCGCCAGCATCGGCAATGGCGACGTCGGTCTCTTCCGTCTCGGGCGGCGTACTGGTCTGCGCCGCCACCGAGCGTGTTAATGGCTCAAGATTGCTGGGTGGCAGCTCAAGCTCAAGAATGCGAGGCGATGCGATAATGGGCAGCGGCTCGGGTATGCTGCGGGCCACCGATAGCACTCCTGGCACAAACATGTGATAGTCGCTCCTACAGCGGTATGAGAGCGCTGATTGAAAAGTGCTTCGCCCACCGTACTCGCTTCATCCGCGTTGGGCACAGAAGCTTGTGGCGCCTTGGGCTGCGACAAAGAAGCACACGTTCTTCCCGCAGCTCAGGATGATCCGCAGCCCACGGTCTTTCTTGGACCGGACCAGCCGCTCGGGTGGTTGTACGAGACGTGCAGACATCTCTTCCAAGGTCGGCGACGTCGAGGAGGCTGACGTCGAGGGCGCCATTGACGGCAAGATGTAGATGGGTTTCGAGCCGTCGTGTGGCATGCTGCTAACACAAGAATGCTCAAGGTGGCCAAACGAGATATTGGCTCCATGACAGCCAATCAGATCGCACGGAAAGGCGTATACGGCAAGACTTTGGCCAATCCGGTGGCTTGTAGAGTTACCTCTATATGTGGATACCTGACTACCATCAAGTTTCAGAGTATTGAGCGCCTCCGCCTCCGACAGCGGCACTGCAGTTCTTTTGGCTTGCTTGGTGGTGTGGCTGCAGAAGGCAACGAAAAGGCAACTAGAAGTCCTTGCGGTAGTTCGACTTGTCGGCCTTGAGGAGGTACACCAAGCATCAGTATTCGACCTCGCGCGAGCCATCCCTCGGCGAATGGGGTCCACCACGGGATGGATCTCTCCGTGCGCAGCTTACTCCCAACTACCAAGTGCTGGTGCCAACTCCCGCGCACCCAGGCGTAGCACTACGTATGCGAACTCTTTGTAAGGAAGATAACGCGGAACACGTTGATATATATAAGCATCAGTATTTCAACGTGTCTCCTGGGTGTTTTTGTTGTGTCTGATGAATCCTGCAGAAGAATGGGGCAGCGACGCAATGAGCTGTTGAGCACCGTCGCAACTGCCTCACAAGCAGCAGAATGCGCAACCAAAGCAAGACAAAAGTGTATTACAATGGGTACCTGCAGTCAGCAACTCAGTCCAAGGGATTGACGACATGTATCACCTGTGAAAAGTGCCAAGCCGAATGATATGTCACATTAGGATGTCGTGGCGGTTACGTTTGGACCGAAAAACCATTTCAAGCATTGAAGTAAAACATGGAAAAACCTTTAATTACATGCTCAAAATCTTGTGTGTCAGCATGCTTATTTTATATTCTGGTGCAAGAGATGCTCTCACAAGTAGAAACTATCGTCACTCGATGGTTTGTCCTCTGACGAAGCTGTGGCGCGATGGGCTTTTGCAAGGTGATCCATCGCGCGCACGGCTCTCTAAGTTCAACCCCATCAATCAGTAGCCTCGTTGAATTGATCTCTGATTTCGCCGCACCTCGTACTCGTCTTCGAGTGTGTCCGTGAGCTGCAAGAGCCGTTGTCGTGTCGCCTCATTGACGGCAAGGTCATGCAAGCTACCAAAGGATAAGCAACCAAGGAGCTTATATTCAAGACGCACTCGAGTCGGAGTTGATTTAGTACCGATGCATGGGTCTGCGTGTCGACGATGCTGCTGCGTGTACTTGTTGCATTACCTAGTACTGCCTACTTGATCGTTACACAACACACATCTTTGCCGTCTTGCCAGGTGCTAGGCGTGCTGGACCTCAAACGCATCGTCGTCGTCGTTCAGCCTTCGGTTCAAAAACGTGCGCGCGAGTTGTCGGATCGCGAGCTCGGTCCGCACCTTGCATTCAAGGTCCGCGTCGCATGCGCGTTGCGTCTTGAGCCGCCGCTCCGACAGCTGAAACGTGCCGTGATAGACAGGCAGTTCAAGTCGCAGCCAGATGCGCTTGACGCTATTGCATAGTTTGTATACATTTTCTACATCATGTGCCATGCAACCACCGTACCGACTCGCAAACTTGAGTGTTCCATGGGTCTCGAAGAGGCAGTCGACGGACGGCGCGACCGTACAGAGAAGCGCCACCGCAGACGCCAGCGTCAGTGTCGGCGATACAAGCTGCGTCAATACCGAGTCCTGGTACGGCACAGCGGTCGTCGGCGTGTGGCTAAACAGCCACATTGCATGACCAAAGGCCAAGAGGCTTCGGTCGACCGGGTTGGCCTAGTGGCAACTTCATTGAAACGTCAAATGAAGTGCATCAGGTACAGTGGTGGCAACGCTCTCTGAAGCAGCCAAATCGACAACGTCCAGGGTAGACACACGCAGTGGTGACCCACCATCTTTGCTCCGACGTTCTAGCGTCTAGAGCCCAGTGCAGCATGAGTAGGGCATCCCAAAAGCCGCATCCACCAACGTACCAATCGCAAGAGTATGTGACGGCAAGATGCTTCACCGCGGCACTTTGTGTTGCCGGCTTGGACGAGAGCGAGGGCGTCATCCGCAGTCGTGACGGGTATGTCGGTATGTCCCCGGAGCTCCCACACGCGGTCCGTGGCGCCTAGCGACGTTCGTGACGCGCGCCGCGATCATTGACGAGCACCTTGGTGCAGCGTCACTGCCGAGGCGGGCTCCGTCGCAAGCAGATCCACGAGCGTCTCGTCGTGGACTTCTACATACGACACCTGCATGGCGCGGTATGAGATGACGGCGTCTGTCCCGCGAGGTGAATTACCCGAAGCATGTACTCGACGGTCGCCGCTGTGGCGCGAACGTGACAAAAGATGTCGTTTAGGATGTGGATCGTGAGCGAGGCGATCGTGAACGACTTGCCCGACTGCGACTGCCCGTAGCACGCGACGAGGCCATTGTAGCCGGCCAGAAACGCGTCGAGCGTCGGCTAGACCGATGAAATTGCACTTGCGCGGGGCTTGGCAACTTGGCGTGTACCTGCACGCTGCTTTCGTAGATTGTGGCAGCAGGCACGTCCGGCGCGTACAGCTGGTCGAACGTGTACGACGTGGTCGTGGCCTTCTTGGCGCTGGCTTGCGCCGGGAAGATCTGCTGCGAGATCGTTGGGCCATGCCTACGCGGCGAATCGTCATGGCCGCGCCATTACCCATGATTGGCGCACCAGGACCATGCGCTCTTGGCGAGCTCGCACGCCTGCTCCCGGCGCGAGAGAGGCCGGACGCGTACGCCGACGCTCACCCGCCGGCTTTGGTCCATCGCCGAGCCACGTTGTCGCGATCCCACCAATCGCCGGTCGTCTCATCCGGACGCATCCGGAAACGGCAGGATCTGGCCTTTCCAGCGGTACGCCGAGGAGCTGCGGGCAGGTGTCGCGCTTTGGACCACGCCGCGTACTACTGTAGCACTTCGTATCTATCGAGTGCGAAGATGATAACGCAGCACTTCCTTCTAATCATGGACGAAGCGAGGCATCTATGCTATGCGCCTGTCGGGCCCACTGACGCGAGACCGGACAGGCGTCACGCACCTCGGCGTTAGCTCGCAGCGTTCGGAACAACGGTCGGTCGCCGCTGCCATCAACGACAGCTATTGCAATGGGTGCGAAGCTTCCTTCGCCACGAGATGCACTGACGCTACGAAATGCCTACGCTCGGACTTGCCGGCTCAAACAACACTTGTTGTCTACCCATCGGCTCGGCCGGATTGGGCACGAAGCTTTAAGGTCGTGATGTGATCTAAAGTCCATAAGCTGTCGTAAGATACGACCGACGGGACGCCCGCCACTCCGTAGCTATGCAGAGCATCGTAGATTCAACACTGGCCAACACCCATCCTTCCCTTCTAGAAAATCAAATCGCCAGAGAGGCGCGCCTGGTACGCGCGAACTTACAAACGCTTTGGCACTAGCACAACCACGACATGATTCTGTACAGCTAGTGTATCGATGGTGGTCGCTCTACCCCTAGCACAACTGAGCAGTGCGGCCAATGTGGAGGCAACCGCTGTTGGGCGAGCCCCAACTAACGCCTTTGTGGTCGTGGTCGTGGTGGCTTTCCGACGCCATGGCGCCTTTGGGTGGTGATTTCAGTTTGTGCTCTACCGCCAGTCGTACAGTGCTCTGTGTGGGTCGGGGAAGCAAGCATGAAGTTCCCGAAAGCGCCCCCATCGAACGGATTTATCATTTTTCGATGGCACAGATTCCCGCGTCGCCTTCAACTTCCAAGCACGCCTGCGTCGACTGGTGGTCTGTTTTTGTGCCCAGTACATGAACCGACATACGTCGGGACGGTTCTCCATGAAGCGTCGAGCTACGAGATGCGCCGTAGCGCCCAATATGGGCCAGAACTAGACTGATCCCTTGCGCGGTCTACCGACTACTGCTTCGCAGTCGAAGTCGAGTATCGATGGATAGATAGATGGATCGTTCGATTGCTAGATACACGTAAAAAAGCATGGTTGGGTTGGATCGTCCGGCAGTGAGCAACGCGCGCGCGACAGCTGAATCTCGCCCGCTGATTGGTCTATTTGTCGCGTGATCATTTTGACCAATCATACGCCGGATGTCGCAATCATCACATTGCCTTTCTGCCATGCAGCGTGGCACGCCGACGCTCGGTCTGCACGCGACCACCGACATTGGCAACGTCCGCAAGACGAACGAAGACACATATGTGCTGGCGCCCAACCTTCTGACTCGCGACAATGACGTCGCCGCATCCCGGTCGCTGGTTGCAGTCTTTGACGGCCACGGGGGCCGCCGCGCCGCCGAGTACCTCGAGACCCACTGTGTCCGTGTCTTCACCGAGAGCGAGGCGTACGGCTGCGATACAAAGGCGGCGCTAACAGCAACCTGCCAGCGCCTCGATGCCGCATTCCTCGCGCTCGCCGCCGACGGCGGCTCCTTTAACGATGGCGCCACCGCGATCATCGTCGTCGTCGAACAACGACATGACGCGTCCGTCGTCGTCACGACAGCCAACGTGGGCGACTCGCGCGCACTCTTGTGCCATGTCAAGCAGCCGCCCGTCGCCTTGTCGGTCGATCAAACGGCCGCGCGGGACGACGAGGCAAGCCGGGTGTACGCGGCGGGTGGCTTTGTCGCGTACAAGAACAAGTTTCGGCCGCACATTGCGACCCTCTCGGGCGTGAAGCGGCGCTTGCGAGGGGTACACAAGCACTCTGTTCTCGGTTTTTTATGAGGTGTGTAGACAAAGGAAGCGTGGATGCGGTCCCTCGGGCGACCGCTGCGCGTGTACCCCGGTGGCGTCATGTGCTCGCGTTCGATTGGCGATCTCAACTGCAAGCAATCCAATGTGCTCATTTCGGACCCCGAAATCACCGAAATCGAGCTCAGCACCGACCACGTATGCGCCGTAAAATGACCGTTGGGATTGAGGCACGCGTCTAGATTTGCATTGTTGTCGCGTCCGATGGGCTCTGGGGCTCGTCTCGAACCGCAAGGTCCAGGCCAAGGTCAGGGCGTGTCTCGAGGTCACCGCCACCGAAAACGCCGCCGATCAAGCCGCCTATATTAGCAAAACCCTCACCAAAGTGGCCAAAGGCGCTTTAGAGAGTGACGACAACATCACTGTCGCGACCATTGTTATCGACTGGAAATCGACACCGACGGATCGATCGCAGATATCGAGCGCAAATATGCCATGAATGAGCACTACGATATGCAAACTCGTAAATAAAAACGTATAGTCATGAACTGAAAGCGATACTCAAACAACCAAGCAGCACGTCGCGCCAAAAGCTGTCGCCACGCTGCGGAGAACGACGCCATTGCATGCGTCATGGAAGACGCAGCTGCACGCCTGTAAAACTCCTTCCACATAAAAATCAAACGATTTTGGTACCGGTATGTGATAGCTCGGGCCGTGACGCGCCGGCTCATCTCGGTATCTAGTACTACGGCATATCCGGCATACGTGGCACGATGTGGACGCAGTGGTCAGACTGGCGATGCTTGCGAGCACGTGCGCATACGGTAGATACGCTTACAGGTAATACGGCTCGCAGCTGGGTTATAGCTTGCCCCACACACTCCAAGCTAGCATGTGAACCGAACAGATCCTACTAGATCTGGTCGGCTCGCGATTCGATCGACTGATGCGACGGCCTTTTTCACTTGCGCTTCAGAATCATGGAACAAATCGGTCTGCTAAAAGGTTATGGCAAAGTCGAACGCCAGTGCAGCGACCTGCGTATGCTTCCCACGATTACTCGTTCTGCCCGCCCGCCATCTCAATTTGGGTTCGTTGTTTACCGATTTCCGACGGCTCCCACGTTGATAAAGTACGCCATGACGCGCCGTGGGTCGTCAGAGGCCGCCGTCGACTTGATGTCTCTAATGTCTCCGCAACATACACAGCTATACTAGTGTGTTGTATACTTCAGCGAACCGCCGAGCGTTTGAACGCTCGACTAAGCTGTTCGTCAACTTAGACTTTGTTTTGAAAGATATTCTAGAGCACCAATACTTATTCTGGTACTTGTACGTGGTGGTACAAATATCACTCTACGCCGAGAACCGATGGCGAATCGAGTCCGTCAAATCCACACTTGGTGCCGTCAGTGGCGAGCGGAGTTCCCACCGCACACGATTTTCCCGCTCGCACCTTGCTGCAAGGGCTACCGTGCGTCCAGCGTGCAGTCACGCGACAGCTCTACCGCTGGAAGACTCTTCACAGCTCTCAAGTAGCTAAACTAGCCTAGTACGCTCTCGACCCGCGCATTGTTCTTCCAATTCCAACAGTGCGAACATCTTCTGCTTTGTTTGCTTTGCCAGAATACAGTACGAGGCGTGTGTACATCGACTGGAGTACCTCTGCAAAGCACTTCAAGTGCCAAGGTGTATCCCACTGTCGCCAGAGTTGTCGACTCCTCACACCGTGCGACACGTTCCCTCGTCGATGAACGTAGCATCCTACGCGCTGTGTTCCGTTCGTGGCACGCGTCCCGAGCGTCCTTTTCACAGCCACCGCTCTACCTCGCAATAACGCCACACTGGATTTCAGTGCCCACACGTTTAAAAGTTGATCATATACGGGCCAGTTTGACTTTTGCGTCATGGCCAGCACATGCCTCGGCCAACCACTGTGTCTCTATGCACCTTCCCATCCCGCGTGTGCGCTCGAACTAAATACCAGCAATGTGCCCGTCACGTCCGTAGCCATCGGCGCCGGGCTCCTCTTCCTGCTCGCGTTTCTCTCCAGTGCCAACGATATGGTCAATATTGTCGGTACGGCGGTCGCGTCTCAAGCCATGGCGCCACGCCGCGCGCTTGTACTCGGTGGTCTTTGCAGCGTCGTCGGGTACCTTCTCTCGGCCGCGGCAGCCGCACCACCGCTGCCCGATCGCATTGGCGCGAGCCTCTTTCCGCCATCGTCGCCGTGGCGGCATGGATTTTGCGATACCAAAGACGCGGTGTTTGCACATGGTCTTCTCATTGCACTCAGTGCCGCGGTCGTCGTGCTAGCGCTCGCGACGGTCGCCAAGCTCCCTGTCTCGTCCACTTATGCAGTCGTGGGTGGCCTTCTCGGCATGACGCTGACGTATACTGGCGTCGATGCACTCGATATGCCGAGTCTTGTGCGCCTGGCGCTCTCGTGGGTCGCGGCACCGTTGCTGTCGGCGCTTCTGAGCGCGGTCGTGTACCGTCTCACGGCCCGCTGGATTCTCAACACCAAGCATCCGCAGTCGCAAGCACTGGCGGTGCTGCCCGCGTTCTACAGCCTGTCGTTGGCAGGCTTTGTCAGCGTCGTCGTCGGTCGGGCGCGGCCACTCTTGGGTCGGTATCGCGACTATTTCCACGGGATCTCGCTCCTTCTCGGGCTCGTCACATATGGCCTCGCGCGCTATAGCCTCGTGCCGTACGTGGCGCGGCACTTGCCGTCGTTTATGCACGGCAACCCGTGCCACCCGACGCTGTCAACATCCGCGCTCTCGCCCTTCGCGAGTGTGTACGACCTCGCCGCTCTGCAGCGGGACTCGATGCCGTCGTGCCTCATGGACTCGACGTTTACCCGTGACGACGACGACAACGAGATTCCGAGCCTCGGCGACAATCCGTCCGTGTTGCAGCGGTCGTCGCTCGAGTGGAACGGTGACTTTTGGTGCCTCACACCGCCCCAGCGCGACGCCTACTACGTCTTCAACTATGCTCTGCTGCTACTGAGTGCCTTAACTGCAGCCTTGTACGGCATGCACGCTGGGACGACGGCGACGACGCTGCTGCAGCTACTCGATACGATCCAGCGCCATCGTGACGCGCCGTTTCGAGAGAGTGACGCGCCGTTGTGGACGACGGCGGTGGCCGCGGTCGGTTGCTTCCTCGGGGCAGTGCTCCTCGGCCGACGGGTGCTCACGCCGGTGCTCCATGGCGCGTGCTTTGTGAGTCCGCACCGCGGCTTTTGCATGCAAGTGGGCCCTGTGGTCGTTCTGAGTCTCGCAGTGCTCCTTCAAGTGCCCACATCGTCGACCCACTGCACTCTGAGCGCGATTGCCGCCGTGAGCCGCGCGCACTATGGCACGTGGAAGCTCGAGCGCGCACGGTTTATCTGCTTTGGCGTCTCGTGGGTTTTGATGCTTCCGACGACGATCGCATGTGCGGCTGGCATCGCCTACGCACTGCGATGATGGTAGTAGCTCTTATTTAACTCTAGAACCAAGTTGTACATCTATCTACATGTATCTACAGTATCTATCTATATACTAGTATCTATATACCGTATCTATCTATATATCTGTCTATCTATATATATATATATCGACCGCAGTCGCCATACCGTGGAACGGTCAAGCCTAACACCGCTGACGGTAGCGCGGTTTTTGTACATGGCTATTCCCATCCAGATGATGGGAAATGTTGGCTTCAACGAGCGTGAAAAGATATATAAAGTGGCAAAAGCGCCCATAGTATTCCGACTATCCGACGAGGATCTTTCGACCCTACGATGGCAAAAATCTATCCGACAACACGTAGACTTGCCACCAACGTTGCACATCACCGTCCCTGCGCTGGCCGTTATCCTCTCCCATTTCTAGCTGCTGAGTTTTCACACAGCTTGCTATCCCACGTCGAGCGACAAGGGCTGTGCAAACGCGTTTCGTAATGATAAGGAGTGAGAGTCGAGAAATTCGTTGGTTCTCGCCTGCGCACGCATTGCTAGCTCTCACATTTGAGCGCGGTCGAGAGGGTCGAGGCCCCAGCCCCCCTCGTCGTCGGAAAACTCATCGTCTTCGGAAAGCTCATCTTCTTCGCTGTCTAAAAAGCACACGGCCCCGTCGCTTCCTACGTCACGTTTGTGAAATCGATCCCAAATTCAACGCATACCGCTGTCGTCGTCGTCGCTCGACAGCTGCGCGCGGGAGAGCGGCGAGAGGGGCTTGACATACCGGAACCCGGTTGTATGCACGTCGTTGCAATCGTCGTCGGATTTCCCACTGCCGTCACCGGCTTGCGAACTGTCCTTCTTTTGGCAGTCATGGCTACATGACATTTTGTACAACGTACGTTGGAGGTCGATGTGTACTACCTCAGAGGCTTCGTCGCCTTGGCCGGTGGTGCTTTTCGAGCTGCTTTTTTCGCCGGCTTCCTACAGTAGATGGCTCAGACCTTGATGACTGGTATCGCCATTATACTTGATCGATGTCGATGGACTAGAATTCTCTGGCGTGTCGACCGATGCCTTGCGCTTCGGACGGCCACGTCTGCTTCGACGCTTGGTTTTGGTACTTGGTGGCGCCGGTTCAGGGGCGCCTTCCGACGACTCGGTGGCGGCGGGCTTGGTTGGAGCGCTTGCTCGAGCGGTACCTAATAACACGGTTATAGTGGCGCAGTCTAGCCAAAGAGGACGAGGTGTCGACCTTTTGGCGCTGTCGTCGTGCTGGCCGACGCCTTCTTCTCGGCATGCTCGACCAGGCGCGGGTTGAAAAATAAATCTTTGTGAGCAGTCGAGATTTTGGCTGTCAATACTTTTGAAACATAATATTGTCTTGAATCGACTACGGCACTGCATCCGAAATGTCTACTGCGGTGAAATGTAGGCACTGCCAGAGTGCATATCCTTTGATATTATAGTCATGTCGAGGGAATCAAGATATTGTATGGATTGAACGAAGGCAACAAACTTCCAACATTTTATAAATTGGCACGGCCGACCGTTCATGAGATCCTTCATTCGACGGATCCTTCTTTCCGTGGTAGTATAATTGTACTGTGGTGTAGCGCTCGATTCCTCAAGTGTAGGGGCTTGCTTATAACATGGTCGGTTAATGGGCAATTCGTCCTAACTGTACACGACGAAACGACGAATTGTATCGAGTGATCCCTTGGTCATCCAAGTGCAAGACTTGACAATCAATCAATCAATCAAACGTGTTCGCGTTGAAATCAAATTAGCAAAAACCAAATCAAAGACTTCGCATACGTCGTGCTACACCTGAATGCGTGGGAGTTATCCTCTTGTTCGTCGGATGCATTTCGATGCGATCGCCCATCGGGCCGTTTCCAAGAAGAGGCAAGGCCCGAGCGATCCAGAAGACTGGTTCCAAGATCGCACACGATCCAAGATCCAAGATCCAGGCGCAGAGCAAACGTGCTCAAGCCATTTCCAAATTGGTAGTGTCAGTCAAGCAACGAACCCGCCACCACCGGCATGGCGGACACCAACACGGTTGTTGCCCCCAAGTAGTTCGGTCTTGATTGAGGAAAAGAACATGCGTGTCGATCTTTCCACAAGCGTGCTGCTCAATGGGACCGAGCTGTTTGCCTCCAAATGAGCCAAAACAGACAACCGGCCAAGTGGACCGACTCGACAAGTCGGCGCTGTGGCAAGCAACCTATCCAAATGACTCGATACAAAACATTGTAAGCACGCAGTACTCATCCTTTAGAGACTAAAAATACGCCATCATGGTGGCAGCTGCGTTGTCGGCGGTGCATGCCGACGCTACCACGGACGTTGGCAATACACGCAGGGAAAACGAAGACGAGTTTTGCGTTGTACTCGACCTGCCGCTACGTACCCCCCACGACAATGCCTGCCGTCGGTCGCTCTTCGCGGTCTTTGACGGCCACGGTGGCGTCCGCGCCGCGACCTTCCTCAAGACACACCTTGTTTCGTACTTGGTGCAAGACCCGCAGTACGGTCAGAGCACGTCGGACGCACTCGCCTCGACACTGCGGCGTCTCGACGCGGCGTTTCTCGAGCTTGCGCGGCGTCACGGCGGTGCGATCGATGGCTCGACCGCGATTGTGGTCGTGCTCGAGCAGTATCACGGGAATGCTTCGCCGACGCTCATTTGCGCCAACCTCGGCGACTCGCGCGCCGTCTTGATAAGTCGACATCATTGGGAGCTGCTCTCGCGCGACCAAACTGCGTCGCGCGTCGACCAGCAGCCGCTTGTCTACGACAACGGCGGGTTTGTGGCCTTTCGAAATACATATCGCCCGCCAACATCGGAGCTGCCCCTCTGGCGTCGGTGGTGCCGAGAGGTACTCTACCGTCTCGTTATCCTCGATCTAGGCAAAAATATCCAAACGACTTGGAAATGGTCTCGTAGATCTACGACGCGTGGCAAGCTCGAATCGTGGGGCGACCGCTGCGCGTGTACCCTGGAGGCGTGGTGTGCACGCAAGTGATTGGAGACCTCGACTGCAAGCAAGTTGGCGTCGTCCGCGCGATCGCCGAGTGCACGGTCGTCGAGCTCCACCCTGCCCACGTATGTTTTTTATCTTTCAATTGTCCAAAAAGATAGTTTAACATTGCCAATGGACGACTAGACGATGGTGGTGCTGGCCTCGGATGGGCTGTGGGCCGTGGTGGCCAATAAGCTCGTGCACGCACATGTTCGAGACCTGACATCGGCGACCACGGCCAGCCACGAGCTCGTCCAGCTCGCCAAAGCACATCGGCGAAGCACCGACAACATCACGGTCGTCGTCGCGACCTTGACATGGCAGAGTGCTGTGCCGTAAAACCACAGTCCAATGTCCCTCTTATGGTGTTAAAAACGGCATTGAGAGTGTCTTGTGCGTCGACGGAAAGGCCGTCTCGCTGCGCTTCTTGGCTTCTCGGTTGTCGCGAAACTGGACGTCTATGGTCAATATGTCTTGTGACCTGTAGACAGTAAGACGTCCACGAACCTTGAAAGTGGTGCAGTGTCTGAAGGCGGCGCATGCGTGGACTAGGGCGCAGTCCAGCATAGGGGCGCGCGACGTCGGTCGGTGCGCATTGCTACGTGCGAAAAACAGTGTTTACATCCAGTGCACTGACATGCTGCGTCGTACGTGTAGGCGACCACTGATCCCGTCGGACAAGGGCGTGAGAAGGCGTTCCTGTGCCGGGTCCATGGCCTGGTCCTGGAACCGACCGTTCACGAGCACACGGCGGACGCGAACGTGGCCTCGCGGTAGCTTGGTTAGCGGTCCCGGCGTTGGCGTTTCCGAGCGCTGTCCACACTATGTGCATGCATACTACGCGTCGCATCGAAAGATACTACCTGAAAGGGCAATGTCGCTGGCGACAATAGACTCTCCAGTCGTTTATGGTTCTTGGCTTGCCGACGCGAGGCCATGTCCATGAACTCGCGCACCTACACCACCCATATGCAACCCAATCTTCGAGATGCGGGCTAGGGTATTAGGGATCGTATTTTTTCTTCACGCACCGCCGAGGGATGGTACACGGCCATCATGTCCACAAGGGGCAGTGGCACCGCGAGGACAACGGCGCCGGGCATCGCCAGCACGGTGACGCTGGACCGGGTTTTGCCCGCGCAGTGCTCTTCGCCACACAGCTGCGGCGCTTCGAGCATATCAAGCACTTTGGTCGCCTAGCATGTTGCCGCTATATAAGCTTCCAATCCACAAAAGATACAAACGCCGCACCGCATTGGGCAGGTGCGTCATCGTGGTCAGGGTTCCCGCAACGAGGAGGAAGAGGGCGGTGATCCGGTCACCTTGGGCCACGAGCAGCGTCTTGGCCGTGAACGCCGTGTACGTGCAGCTGTAGGCGAGCCGCACCATGCTCGCGCGGGAAAAGTCCCGAAAATACGAAATATTGTGCAGATAGTTGAGCTTGACGCGCAGCATGTTGTGCAGCTGATGGCGTAGCACCGCGACAGCCGGCGCCTTGGCATCGTACAATTAGCGTCGTACATACATGTCGTCGCACCGGACGAAGCACGACGAGATGCGTGACGATTGCATCGTAGTCGATGAGGGCCGTGGCCGTCCGATGCATTTGGCCGTCGACAGCGACACCCGGCGTCGCACCGTCCCCAAACACAGTGCCCGGCCCAAAGTGACCAATGCAGCCAAAGCCGTGCATGGCCATTGTGATCGAGCCTAAAACGCGTCGTAGTAGGTCGTGGATTGGTTGAACGCGAGTGCTTCTACCGTGAAGGACGATGTACATGCAGTCACCAACGTCACCTTGCTTGAACACACAATCACCGGCAGCGCACGCCCGCAGCTCCATCGACGGTGTCACGTCTATCGATGGGTGCAGCTGCGAGAGCCATCGTTCGTTCATACCGTGGGATGCAATGCACTCGGCAATCAAGTACGACGTGCATTTACTGAGCGAGAGCAGCCATTGCGTCAAGGCCGATGCGTCGTTGGCATCCCGCACATTAGGGGCGGAAAGGAGTGCTTGGTGCGCGGCGGCTGTCAACGAGGCCTGCGACGTTGGCGACACATCATAGGCAAACCCGTGCTCGATCGGTAGACGCATCGGAAGCGTCCGGTCCGTGCCTACTCCCGTGAACAAACCAACAACACGAGCCCAAACGGTCGTACCGCGGCGACGGGCCGACGCCCGCCAGAGACAGACGATCCACTGGACACTGCGTACGACAGCACGCCAGCTTTTGAGCCCTCGAAGCGCCACCGGTGTGGTTGCCTTCCGCGCATGGAGTGTCGGCACGAGGTGCGACCGGCCGCGCGTTCGGCCAAGGCGCAGCGTGTAGCCGTCCGCAATGTCGTAAAAGGAAAGAACCGCGTCGTCGTCGAGTAACATGCCCTTGAAGTACAGCCTACAACACGAATCTCAATCTCAAAATTGAGACGACGCGTGTACGTTTGCTCGTCGGGGGCGAGGCCGGTCCGCGCCATGACGAGCTGCTTGAGGACGCGGACTGACTCGTCTTGGGCAACAAGAAGAAGCTCTTCGCGGCCGCCCTTGGGCAGCACGATATGCAGCGTGATCGTTGTGGCCGATGGCATCTTGCAATGTTCGATCGACGGACGCCAGAACGTTGGTCTAAAAATAGACCACGCCGTACACGCACGCCGTGCTGCCACGTCAGAGGTTTTGACACGCGGTACTACAAGTCAGCAAGGGGATGACTCGCGAAGCTATGGCGCTAGATAGAAGTAGCGTTCTCGTCCCGGCCACTGCCTCTACGCGTGCACGCCTGTCTGCTGCTTGCGGCGGGGCCGTAGGAGCCATGAATGCGTCACGGCATGATCCGACGAGGCAACACGTGCCCTTATCCAGGCTCTGCTGACGACCCATAGCAACACCTCTTGTTAAGAGTCGCCTGTGTTGACGGGAATGACATGCACAACCCAACGGAATATAGGAAGAGAAGAAGGGTCGTGTAAATAGGTGACAGATACAAACGCAGAGCAGCGAGGCGTCTAGAAGGCGATTTCGGTGCTTGTTTTCCGCACTGAGATGGGCTTGACCTCGAACGCCTTCATGCGCTCGCTCACCAGACTCGACGTCTTGGCCGGCTTGGGCTCGGGGGCCGGTGCAGCCACGGGCGCGGCCTCGGCCACGGTTGTCGTCGTGCGCGCCAGCGATCGCGGCTTGGCCGACTCCTTGGACGGCGTGCGGCGCTCGGACTTGGACCGGCGCATCTGCTGCTTGGCGGCAGATGGGTCCATCTTGAAGTACTCTTTTTCCGTCGAAGCAAAGTTCTGCGCGCTGGCGTCGTCACCGGCCTTTGTGCCTGGTGTCCACGTCGGGAGGCGCTGGCGCAGGTTCTGGTACGTTGACGACTTTTGAACTTTCTTGAGCTTGCTCTCAAGCGTCGACTTGCCCATGGAGGCGGCGACGCCGGCCTGCGTGCACACGTACTTGCCCTTCTCCTTGATGACGGGCGCTGCAACCTTGGCGCCGAGCATCGCCGACGACGCGAGCGAGCCCGCGGTCGACGCGGTCGTGCGCGCCATGGAGCCGGCGCTCGTGGCCATCGATCGAAGGCTGTCCATGCGGTTCATGATGGTGAGGTGCGAGGGCCGGTGGAAATGAGAGACTGGCGCCTGCTACGCCGAGGCGTCCGAGCTGCGCTTCTACCCGCGGTCTGGCCCTATCGAGGCTGTAATTGCATTGCCTTAAAAAGTATGTTACACCCAAGTGTGACACGCTGATGGTGGAGTGTGGCTTCCCATTCGATGAAAAACAGCCAATAACGGTGCTGCATCCGGCAATGGGCGCAGTGGATTGGTTAAAAATCAATCAGCAAACTGCATCTTCAAGAAAAACGCCAGCGAATCTCATCATTGCTCAAAGGATCCTCAAGATTGCTCAAAGGGTATCTGCATAGACAACGCCGTGATAGACCCTGCGCCGGACCATGTACCGCGTCATTCGACGATCTCTCGCGCTTCTCTGAGTGCGTAGGTTTTTAAAGTGTCCTTGTGTGACCCAAGAGAATAAATATGCACGAGGGCTCGACGACATCGCGAGGCGTCGATTTAGAGAAAAAAGCGGTGTGTACTGAAGAAGGCAATTCTTGATTGCCAGCGTGACGTGTGCCAGTGGCGCCACCTGGTAGCACAGATCCAGGCAGCGCTTCGAACGTCGCGCCGACCGTTCTCGCGTTCGATTGACGTCTCAGGATGCCACGTATCTCGACGACCAAGCAACTGCTGCGATCGCGGAAGCCGCCTCGTTCGCGCCTGTTGCATTCAACCAGCTCGCTCAAGACGACCGCTGCATGCGAGGTATTCTAATATGAGGTCCACAACATGTAGTAGGTGCTCCGTCCAAGGTCACCCACGGCGCGTAATGACCGCAACGTGTTCCGGTTGATAGCTCCAAGGTGCTACTGCCCGTCGACCGACCGCGAGCAGAGATCCAGCTCACTAGATCGACTAGACGACTCGAGTGCTCTCGTTTTCAGCTTGTCGTTAGCCGCCCCATGGACGTTGCAGCTTGGAAAAAGCCATCCTTGCGTCTTGCTGGCCCGTCGCTTAGATAACATGAATCGAGCACGGTCGCGTTATCTAATATCTGTTGTCCGTTACGGCCGTTGGAGCTGCCACGTTTTCCAGATACCAACTCCATTGCGTCCGGCGACGAAGCTCGTCATGGCCAAGTCCCTTCCGCGCACGTACTCGGTGCCAATGACAGCGGTCGCCGACGCCGCCTCGGCGCCCTTCGTGCGCACCGCGTCGGCGCCCGGGCCCAAGCCGCTCCATGACGAGTACGACATTGTGCTGGCGCAGGCGCTGCCGATCAGGTACCTTCCATGCGAAGCGACGTCGCCGCTCCATGGCGCTGTAGCTTGCGCTTTGTCTTTGAGACGCTGTGGCGCGACCCGCAGTTCACGATCGACTGCCTCACGTTTGTACGCGAGACCAACATCGACGTCAGCGCCTGGTCGACGTCGCCCGTGACGTACGCAGCGTTCGCCCGGCCCGAGACGTTCATGGCCGAGCGTACGGTGCGCTTTACGCACAACAAGAAGAATTTCATCGGGCCGAGCTCGATCCCGACCACGCAAGTGCATCGGTACGCTCGTCGTCGTCGTCGTGGCAAAAGCAATACGAGTGTGTACTAGCTATGTGTACGAAGAAGACAAGCAGCTCGTCGTGAGCACCACGTCGACGGTCTCGGACGCGCCGTACTGCGACTACTTTCGCGCGGAAGCGCGCTGGGTCTTCACCTACCGCAGTCCCACCGAGTGCCATGTCGAGAGTGGCATGCGCCTCAATTGGTCGAAAACAACGTGGCTCAAAGGCCAGGTCAGTGCAGGCGTTGAAGCAGGTGTGGATACGTGTCGTCCTTGGTAGATTGAAGGATTTGCCAAGACCGAGTCGGCGCAGATCATGCAGTTTTGGGTCAAGAAGGCCCTCGAAGCGCACGCCAAACTCCACCCGGTTGCAGGCGCATCCGCAACATCAATGGCCGAGACCACCGAGCTCGACAAGCCGCACGGGTGGACGCCCGAATTGACGTTGCAGTACATGCGGTGGGCCAACCTCGTTTGTCTCGGTGTCTTCATCGCGGTCATGCTGCAGTTTGCCATCTCGGTCCACAGCTTGCGGTCAGCGACCGCGGAAGCCGTCCGACTTCAAAAAGAGCAGCACCGACTCTTGGTCCTGTGGCTGGACCGCCAGTCGACCTAATCCTAAATACCGTTCGTTCTCGGTGCCGTCCAATCGTTGCGTCGATGGATCGCCTTTCGAGTTGATACAAACTTTACGGGGCCTGTCGGTCGGCTCAATTGTCACCATCGACATCAACGACATCAACGTCCAAACCCATCCAGAAGGTGCTGCAGGGTCTTGTAGCAAAATAGAATGGTCACTGCTTGGAGACCGACAACACGAGTCTCACGGTATAGAAAGGCCGATGCGATAAAACGAGCGCCTTTCGCTGGACTGCCAACACGAGCGCCATCGTCGACCTCACTCTGCAGCTTGCTCCTTTCGCATCGGTCGATATTATGATTCGCACGTATTGGTGTGTCCTTCTTACTGCCCTCGCTCTCGCCGACGCTGCGCCGTGGGTCGTGCAGTCGATCAAGCACTGGCCGACGTCACCGGAGCGCCAGCACATCTTCCGAGCCTTGCGCCACCTGCACGAAGACACGTCGGACGCAGATGACCCATCGACGCGGGCGCCGCAGCACCAAGAAGGCTACGGTGGCGGGGGCTACGGCGGGGGCGGCTACGGCCTCGGCGGCTACGGCTATGGCGGCAACCTCTCTCCGTTTGGGGGCGCCAACGCGAATGCCGGTGCCGTCGCCAGCTCGTCGGCTCGGAACGAGGCCAGCTCGCTCAACAAGGCCAACGCGGGCACGTCGGCCGAGAAGAAAGCCGACCAAAGCGATATTTTTTACGAAAAGCTCATCATCTTCAAGAAGAGCCACAACCGCGTCAAGGAAGCGGCGGCGTCGGACCAAAACCACCTCAACAAGAACAGCGTGTCCCAGTCGGCCGATCAGCTCAAGCTCGCCCAGCAGAGCCAAAACATTAACTAGGGTAGCGTCCTCTTAAGCGATCGCACGCTGTACAAGCACAAGCTGCAACCTGCCATGACCACGTCCAACACTGTTGTCCATGCTGGTGCGAGCACCGACTAGAAACACGCCATTTTAGCTGATGTTGGCGCCGTGCGCCGTAACAACGATGCATACAACCCACATAGAGAGTTGAAATATGGCTTGCGCGGCCATGCATTTCTGCCCGGGATGCAAAGCACTGCATGTGTGCTGCGATACAATGGTCGGTATGGGCCAGCGTCCTTCTTGAGTGGCGTGTAATTAGTCGGCACCATGAACCAACGGACCAATCACAGGCCACGCCAGCGGCTGGACCAATCGCTTGTGCAGCTTTGAATCATGGCGGACGCACCACCGACCGCGCCGGCCATTGACCCGGCCGAGCTGGCGACATGCATCCGCGTGCTCGAGACCTTCCGCGACGACCTCGAGTCCTTCAAGCTGCCGCAGTTCAAGGCGCTGCGCAAGGCTGTGCTGCCGCTCTGCGAGGACATCCGCAGCCGTGTCTTCCACGGCAACGATGTGCAGACGCACGACCAGAAGCGGCTCAAGAAGCAGGAGCGGAAGCGCAAGGTGGCCCAAGCTGCCGCCCTCGACCGGCAGTTTATCAACAACACGAAGCTCCGCAAGCAGCGCCTCGATGCGCTCGACAGCCTCACGGCCGCCAACCCGGCCTTTCCGCAAATCCCGGACGGCGCCGTGCCGCTGCTGACAAACGAAGCGACCGAGGATACGCCGGACGAGCCCATGGCCGGTGAGGACACGCCGCAGCTCCATGGCTTCCGGTCGTGCTACGTCTGTAAGAAACGCTTCGATACGCTGCATCACTTTTATGACCAGCTCTGCCCCGCGTGCGCAACGCTCAACTTTGAGAAGCGGCTTCAATCCGCCGACCTTACGGGTACCGTGCAGCGTTCGTTCTTGTCCTTCGCCTCATGTACGTGCAGGCTACAAGGCGCTGGTCACGGGCGCGCGTGTCAAGATTGGCTACCACACGGCGCTCAAGCTGCTGCGTGCGAACGCCGTCGTCGTGGCGACCTCGCGCTTCCCGCACGATGCGGCCATTCGGTACGCCAAGGAGCCCGACTACGAGGCGTGGAAGGTATGGACGACGAAGTTTGAGAAAATGAACAAAAATCAACAAAAATCCCGAAAATCCCGAAAATCCCTAAAATGATGCATCCTAAATGAAACTACGTAGGACCGACTGCATGTGTACGGCATGGATTTGCGCGACCTGGCCGGCGTCGAAGCGTTCATGACCAACATTGGTCAGCTCTTTGGCTGGCTCGATATTGTCATCAACAATGCGACGCAGACCATTCGCCGCCCGACCGCCTACTACCAAGTACGAGTTTGCCTTGACCGATGCGATAGTTTGGCATGGGCATTGTACTAGCATTTGCTCGAAAACGAACGGACGCGCCTCGATGAAAAGCCGATTGCAATCCAAGGCATCCTCAAGGAAAACGCCAAGTTTCAGCACACGGTCCAGGTATTACACCGTAGAAAAAACAGTATTTTGCGCACCGCACTTTATACGTAGGCGTCGGGGCCGCTCATGCTCGGGACATCCGAGCCGTCCTCGCTCTCGACGACGACGGGGCTTGCGTCGACGTCCAAGTCGGCGGAAATGTCGCAGCTCCAAGTGCACTCGGAAGACGCGCTGCCGAGCGACGAGAAGGCGACGCTGTTCCCCGTCTCGCAGCTCGATACGAACGCGCAGCAGGTCGACTTGCGCAGCACCAACTCGTGGAAGCTCAAGATCGACCACGTCGAGTCGCCAGGTACGCGCTAAACTACTCGATCCTGTCTTCTCATCGTACTATCGAGTAGAGCTGGCCGAAGTGTTTGCAATCAACACGCTCGCGCCGTTCATCCTCAACAAGCGCGCGATCCAGCTCTTTGCCGAGGTAGTACGACAATATTGTACACCTTTCAATATTGTCGAAATGAATCCATTTATGGGAGTAGAGCCCGAACGCGCACAAGTTTATCATCAACGTGTCGGCGATGGAAGGCAAGTTTTACCGCTACAAGACGCCGCACCACCCGCACACCAACATGGCCAAGGCCGCCGTCAACATGATGACGCGCACCTGCGCCGACGACCTCGCGGCGCGCGGCATCTACATGAACTCGGTCGACACGGTACGCGTCGACATGCATTCCGTCGCTACAATGACAGTATTGTAGGGCTGGATCAACGACGAGAACCCGCGCGAGAAGGCCCAAGCGATCGCCAAGGAGCACAACTTTCAGGTATTTGAGTCGTCTTTTCAAACGGGACGGGCCACTCAGGCGGCGGTATAGACACCGCTGGATGAAATTGACGCGGCCGCGCGCATTCTGGACCCGATCTTTGGCGGCTTTCAAGTGGCGCCGCCGACGTTTCCCGCCGGTCAGTTCTTCAAGGACTACCTCCGCTCCGAGTGGTAATGCAGCCACGTCCAATGCCCTTCCCTTGCTCGTGTCGTTGTCGAGACCGTGTACCGAGAAGAAGACTGTGTTTTTTGCAGCCAGAGTCTTGTTTGCATCGCCTTTGTCATACCGTACAGTGGAACGTCGTACAGTGTATGCGCGGATGACCAGATGACGCAGCTCGGACGTTGTACGAGACGCTGTCGCCACAACGTCGCCCTTTGCGATGGACCCAAGTGGCAATTCCCACGAGTCGCTCATGTGACGTGGGCCTTGGGCCCAAAAAGCTACAGGTCGTCGTGTCCACGCCGCACATTGTGCGACATTGCCTTGATCTGTCGGCTCGTAGCACCGCCACTCTCATTTCTTATTCCATCCATGGCATTCGTCTTGCAGGCAGTGGATATTACAGAATCTACGCAAAAACCGCCGTTTTCTCGCACCGTATCCTGAGCTACCGACGCTGCCATCGATCCCGTGGCGCACCTGCATGCCTACTGCCGACGTTGGCATCCACCCGGCCATGAAGCCGACCAGCAACGTGGCCAGCAACGTGGCCAACGGACCATGAGACACTTGCGAGAGGTTCACGCGGAGTGACAGGATTGCGCGTTCGTCAACGTCTCGACGCGGATTGGCCAGCGAAATGACAAAAAAGATTTGCCACCAATGCGCCTTGTCCGCCGAGG